TATGTTCATTTGATTAAACAGTTAGGAAAACAGCTATGCACTTAAGACATTAAAAGCAGTTATTCATCTTATAAATAAGATTAATTTCATTTTATAATTTGGTCGATGTTTATTTTAAAAATCAAAATGGGAAATTATTCATGCTATAAATAACACATTTATTTTTGCTTTAGTAGTTGGCGAAATTACAAAGATTAAAGTAAAAATTAGCTTAACTAAAATCCAGCTTTAATGACCCAGTACGAAAAATACTAAACATAACGAAGTATTCAAATTTATGTTAAATTCTTTAATTAACTACAAACCTGTTTTAATGATCCAATGCGAATAAATATTAAACATAACAAGGTATTTAAACGTTTGTTTAGTTTGTTACATAAATAAAATAAAAAAATATCAGCAACATATAGCAGTACATACAAGCCACATACGAGCTATCTCATGAACAATCTTACCGCCGCGAAAGTTGAACCGACCAGCATTGTTCGCACTTCGTCATTCGAACATTCTGGCCTCTCGTATATAGAGTGACGTCAAACATCGTACATCACCTTTAGTACACTTTGTCACAGTCCACCTACTTATCACACCAAGAATCACAGATTTGTTTTCATGTACTGTTTTATGACCCTTCCAATTCTGGAATAATAAATTCAGCGTGTAAAGTGCAACCCGACGAAGCGAGGAAGAGATACCGAATGTCGTTAAAAAGTGGTCGACTTCTTACATCAGACTTAAATAGACGACTGGTGGAATTTAAAAACCGGTGTTGGTTAAATATTGAACTTAGCGAATCGTTCGATTTGAGGCCAATATGGTGAGACATGCATACACGTTGGTAAACATAAGGGAGGGCGCGAGACGACCGGTCCACGCCCGACCATTTGGACCGGCTGATACACGGCCTACAGGACCGGTTGATTACAACCTACTGGACCGGTTGATAACAAACCTATAGGACCGGTTGATAACAAACCTACAGGACCGGTTGACACCTACAGGACCGGTTGATAACAAACTTACAGGATCGGTTGACACCTACAGGACCGGTTGAAAACAAACTTACAGGACCGGTTGATAACAAACCTACAGGACCGGTTGATAACAAACCTACAGGACCGGTTGATAACAAACTTACAGGACCGGTTGACACGTACATGACCGGTTGATAACAAACTTACAGGACCGGTTGACACCTACAGGACCGGTTGATAACAAACCTACAGGACCGGTTGACACCTACAGGACCGGTTGATAACAAACTTACAGGACCGGTTGATAACAATTCTACAGGACCGGTTGATAACAAACCTACAGGACCGGTTATAACAAACTTACAGGACCGGTTGACACGTACAGGACCGGTTGATAACAAACTTACAGGACCGGTTGACACGTACAGGACCGGTTAAGATGACACTGACCAGGAACAGTGGAGAAGATCTTGTGCCAGATCACTTGTATCAAAAGTAAGTGACGTCAACACGTGAGTGTGAGGATAGCCCTCCTCTCCACCCCCACCGCACCCTCACATTAAGTGGGGGGTATCATTTTACCCACAAAGTCAATGATCTAATGGTTTCTTTTGACTTTTTATTTCTTCTATAGCCAGGGTGTCGGCTACTACACTCGTAGCGTTTTATTGCCCGTTTGGTTAGACTGGTTGGCGTACAAGGGGATGTTACTCGATCTCCTGACGTGAAAAAGGGGAGGCTACTGGATATCTTTTGTAAATACAGACTTGAGTTTTATATGGACGTATGCAGGGAACGATACTTAAGGTGAGAATTGAAGTCAATGATTATGTAGAGGGTGTAACGAAGGCAGCGTGCCAGTAGAGAATTGGAAGACATAAAAAAACATTTGGGAGTGAAGTAGGCGGCGTAAGAATCAGAAGACAAATGAGTGGCAAGTTGACTTTGATTTAACAGTCTTGACTAGATGACTTTGACTTGTGATCTTGATAAAAAGGACTTTGTTTGACTTGAATGAACGAAAATGTAATTTGTTTAAAATCGTATTTGTTTTAATCACAGCGTTGAGTGTTGTTTACATTTTATGCTGGATTAGAAGTTCGTTTGTTACTAGTTTAGTTGACTAATACTTCAAAAAGAAATTTAAAAAGAAAACAATATTTTCTCAATGACTCATTAACATAATTAGGAATGAGTTTTCAAGTTTTCTATTCTAAATTACACACATCCCACCACCTAAAATTAATTGTTAATTACAGAAAATAAGAGGACAATTAAAATCTTAGTAAATAAAAAATAGTGCAATGATTATTTCCAATAAATACATACATTAAACAAATCAATACTTTAGACCAGCATGCTCGCGTTTGATTTAATCTTATTCTCACGACCTTTCTCGGTAAATTTTCTTAATTACAAGATCTCTTATTTCTTAATTATAGGGGCTTTTAATTTCTTTATTATAAGGCTCGCGCGAGTGGCTCTCCATAGTTGTTAAGTCGAACTACACGTTGAAAATGCGAGATTATAATTAAACAGCTATAGCCGAAAAACGCCACTTCAATTTTCATGTTTCTGTAACCCAATCACGTGATTCCCGTGTTACACGAGACACACACTCCACTCTAGATGGGAAACAGAAGTAGACTTTGTTTAGTTTACCGCGCTTGGTTGGGTTCCATTCAACCCCCTTAATCCAAAACTTCCTACCGATTACCGATTAATCCCTTTCTTTTTTTGCTTAATTTTTTTTAAATAGAGCATTGTTGGTGGATCAGTTGTGTGCAGTGTGTAACGTAATAGTTTGAAATTGTTGTTACAAAGTGTTGTTGATGCATCAGTTGTGTATAGTGTGTAACAAAATAGTTTGAGATTGTTTGTACAAGTTGAAAAAAAAATAACTGTATTGATAATTCTCGCCCACGCTGTGATCACCTACTAAAATAACAAACCGTGTCTCCTACATTGGTTCCAAACAGAACGCACCACAACAAATATTAGCACTATGGTTATACATTTTACAAAATTTAGCCTTTGGGTTCTATTTCAGGTAATAGAAGACATGTAAAATGTAGGCTTTTGGGCACTTTTCGCTCAAGTGCAGGAAAAAAAAAAGCCATACAAAATGTAGGCTTTGGGCACTTTTCGCTCAAGAGCAGGAAAAAAAAGCCATACAAAATGTACTAATTGCTCTAGTTCATGTAATAGAAGACATGTAAAATGTTAAATTTTGGATCTAGCGTAGGAAACAAAATTTTGGAGAAGTAATTATTTCTCGAGTGACACTTACAATTATTATTGTTAAAAAATATTACATGTTTACATTGATGCAAAAGTTAAATGTTATTTTTTTTTGTTAAAAATATTATGTGTTAACTTTGATGAAAATTTAGATTTTATAGAATGACGCCGTTTATATTAGTACCAACAAACCTGAATTGGATTGGCTATTAAAAAAACAAATTGGTTTATAAGAAACAACGGAAAAAGACCGACGTTTCGATTTGACATTAAAATGTGAATACAGCGGTAAAGTACGAGACCTGATATTCTATAACAGCACGATAAATATCATTTGAGTGGCAGCCTTCATTACCAATGACGAGACCCCCCCCCCTCCACCCCCATCCCACCCCCTTCAATCAAATCGTGTGCTTTATATGACATGGTTAAATAACGTGAACACTGTGAACATAAATTCTTCAACACAAAGACATACCATTGAAACAAATAAATATATTGCCAAATAAAACGAAGATAAACAATCGACTACCAATGCAGTGTTATGAAATGGATGGACTGGTTGCTACAAGTTGCTAACAGTTAAAAAAAAAACATGTTTAGTAGTATGCCAGGCAACAGCAACTTTATGTGAATGCTGTGGATATTTTCTAAGTCCAGTGAGTACGAGCTACATAACTAGCACGATGTCTGACGCGTCTAAAATCTGTCACGTTAATTTTCACCAAGTTAGCGCTATTTGGGTGGTCTATCAATTAAAACTGACCAATCAGGGCCTTGCAGGCATTTATGAGAGATGATTGTTGATTGGTTATTATATTTTTGTCTCACCTTTCAAACCGTGATTTATATTTAAGAAAAATGCTTCTAAACGACACACATAACATCCGACTACATCATTTAGCATGAATGTTTTCAGACTTAGTGTCAAAACATTATATCAGAGGCGTAGCCACCCTTCCCGGCGCCCGTGGACAAACTTTCGATTTGCACCCCCCCCCCTCTCAAACTTTCGATTACCTTTTCCAACCCATTTTGGCGCCCCCTAAGGTCGGCGCCCGGAGACATATGTCCCCCCTGCCCCCCCCCCCCTCATCGCTACGCCTCTGCATTATATTTAAACTTGTGATTTATTTAGTGAAGTAAGTTTGGATCAAATTACCTAAACGGTATTAGAAAACAATCTTCTATCGAGTTTTAAAAAAAAAATTATAACTGCTGATTGTTAAGGTGAAGATTAGTGTTAGGCTTAGGCTAGCGGTACCAGCATATACTGATAACTATTAGGGCAAGTGTTAGGTTAGCGATATTATGTATATACGAGCTAATTAATTGTAAACTTGATTACATTCATGTTTCTAAACTTAATGTCATTTAGCTTAGCCACGCCAATTTAATTTATGAAAACGCAATGCGCGAAACATTGTAATTCGGGAGCGTCGAGTAATCTTTTTAACGGAATTAGAATACTGATAAGTATCACAATTGTGTTGATTATATAAGCTCTACAATTAAAAGAGGGTAGGGTCAAAATTAGAGTTAGGCTCAAGTTCAGGGTTAGGATTATGATTACATTCAAAGTTATGGATAAGCTCAGGATAGGTAAAGTTTAGGCATGGGTTTAATATAGGCGTATGTCTATGGTTAGGATTAGAGACCGTTTTATGATGGTAATGGTAAAAGCGCAACTAAGATAAGACCTGCGAATTATTTGTGCACATTTAATATCTTAGAAACATCTAATTAATAATTACATTTAATGAAGCTAAAAATGACGTCACTCACCGAAAGGTACTCGGCATCCGCTGTCCGGCAGAAGTCTGAGACCGCTGAAACTTCATCAGCCGCGCGGCTGGAACTGTTTCCGGTCTAGCCGACGGGGTCGTGACCTTGGACGAGATGGGGCCAGACGTGAGGCCCCACCTCACGGGCTGCCCCATGCTGGGGGATGTCACGTGACAAAAAGGACAGGTGCACGAGTCTGGAGAAGGTAAAAAAAATATGGCGTTTGTTGTAGCTGATGTAGATCAATAATTTATTGTATGTAACTTCGTCATACGTCGACAACTGCGTGTCGATGATTGGAAAATGATGACAAGATCGATGACGGTTGATTGGGACATTTTTATGTGTGGTGCTGTAGAGGTAGACCTTTGGCTCTGTGTAGGCGGGGAATCGTCACAGGTTGTGTGTGTGTATATATATATATATATATATATATATATATATATATATATATATATATATACATATATATATATCTATATCTATATCTATATCTATATCTATATCTATATCTATATCTATATCTATATCTATATCTATATCTATATCTATATCTATATCTATATCTATATCTATATCTATATCTATATCTATATCTATATCTATATCTATATCTATATCTATATCTATATCTATATCTATATCTATATCTATATCTATATCTATATCTATATCTATATCTATATCTATATCTATATCTATATCTATATATATATATATATATATATATATATATATATATATATATATATATATATATATATATATATATATATATGCTTACATTTCACAGTATAGCATACATTTGTTGATTTGTGATTTGTAGTTTTGGAAGAATACTATACAATATTAAAAAAAAACTTTCACAGAGGGTAGATTAAAAAACAAAAAACTACGAATTTAATCATAATTTAATTTAAGAAACCTCATATATAATTAATAAGAATTTATAAAATATATAATAAAAATGCACGTATTAAGATACAACAAGTATTGCTGTATCTTAATGTTTGCAAATTAATATGTTGAAATTAAAACACATACTGATTAATATCAAATAATGAAGGTACCATCTGACTCTGACTTAACGTAACAAAAATAATAACAATACACATTTACCTCACCAAATTGTTTAAGTCACGCTAGCGACCCTGCCAAGATGAGGAAATAAAGGAAATAACCATACATAAACACAGCGTTGGTTCATCACGCGAGACAACTTTGTTTACATGAGAGATCCAAGGGAAATGAACTCCAGCACAATTGTCAGTCATCTCCCTTTGTACAAGAGACAGCTACACGGTGGTGTAATTTAACTGTTGGTAGGTCGACACGACCTTTCGGTGTGACGTCAGTGCAAGGTCACCACGGATTGAGATAGAGATTTTAATCTCTTACCGTGGTGTCTGGAATCTTATGAACGCCAGGTGGTACAAGGTAATGCAGGTGATATTAGGTGGTAGCAGGTAGTATTAGGTAGTGCTTGGTAGTTACTTGTAAGATACTTGGTATCTTGTGGTATATAAGGTAATGTTGAGTGATATCAGATATAATGAGTGATACTAGATGATACAATGCGATACCAAGTAATACTAGATAATACAAGATGTTAATAAATGCTACAAACTCATAATAGGTAATACGAGGTGATACAAGATGATACAATTGCAATAAAGGTGGGATAATGTGTAAGTTGATACCAAATGATTCTACGTAATACAATATAATACTCAGTGATTCTAAATGATGTAAGGTTACCCCAAGTCATACAAAAAGATACCAGGTGATAGAAAGTGATATTAGAGGATACACGATGATACAGGATCATACCAGATGACAAAGGCTGATCCGATGTTATACCAAGTGACACCATATAATACTTACCAGGGGACACCATGTAATACTTACCAAGTGACACCATGTAATACTTACCAAGTGACACCATGTAATACATGAATTACCAAGTGACACCATGTAATATATGAATTACCAAGTGACACCATGTAATACAAGTGTTACCAGGTGACACCTATAACATCAGACTTCCCTGATGTTACAGGCCAAATGAAACATTGTAAAAAAAAATTCTAGCCAGACTCTCTTCCAGTAAAACCCGCAGTATGGGGCCCCAATAAAATCCCGTTTGAAATCAACAGGATTAGCCTCTTGTTCTGGGAGCTTTCGCTTGTTTGCTTTCTGATAAAACACGAGTTCAGATCTAATTAAATTCCCTTTTCTGTTTCATTAATTTCTCATTATCGATGGTTTCATTAATTATCATTATCGATGTTAGACTAGGAGTGGCTAGCTGGGAGTTCAACTTTTACAACATTCTCAATGGGGCGGGGGTGGGGTGGGTCAGAGGCGTAGCGAGGGGGGGGGGGGCGGAGGGTGCGGACCACACCGGGAGACACCATTTAGGGGGGTGACACCAAGGCAAAAAATAGCAAAATATATAGAGATAAATTTGGGGGGGGGGGTGCAAATCGACAGTTTGAGGGGGAGGGGTGCAAATCGAAAGTTTGAGGGGAAGCGGTGCAAATCGAAAGTTTGAGGGGGAGGGGTGCAAATCGAAAGTTTGAGGGGGAGCGGTGCAAATCGACAGTTTGAGGGGGGGGGGGTGCAAATCGAAAATTGAAAGTTTGTCCCCGGGAAGGGTCGCTACGCCTCTGGGGGGTGACACCATTAAGTGCCGCACCGGGTGACACCCGTCCTCGCTACGCCACTGCGGTGGGGGCATCACTTTACTGTACGTGTGGAGTACATTACCAATGGACATGAAGGCTTGGGGGACATTAGCAATGAACAGGGCAGTGTGAACTATTTAACCACATACGAGACTAGTGTGTCGATACATTACCACACAACATCAGTGTGTTGGCACTTTTACCACACACCAAACATCACTATGTGAATACATTACAACACAAAACCCTTTTGTGGGAACATAATTGTATGGGAATGGACAGGCCAAATCTCAGTGGAGCGAGAAATTTAGAAAACAAGGTAGAGATAAATAGGTGCAACGTTGAGAAATCCTGCAACTAGTATTAGAAGACAAGGTACTTCATAGAATCGTTAGTATTAGAAAACAAGGCACTTCATAGAATCCACATGGATCAAGACAAAAGGAAAACCTAAAACATTCGGATAAATAGGGAAATCAAAACCCAATCAAACAATGGCTGCGTTAGAAAGATAAGGTTAAGTATTGTGTGTCGTAATAAACTTTTCCTGCTTTAATTCTACGGTTTTCTTAATAAAATTAATTGGCTTCTCTCCCCTGATGTGGCTATTTGTTTGAGATTGTGTGTTAAATAAAACTAGCTATAACACTGAAGGTAAAAACGAAATGACTAACACAAACATTACGGAAAAAATAATATTCGGTTTTTGTTTTAGTTTCAGAAATAAGGAATAAGATAATGTTCATCAACTTACATTGTGTAATACGTCATTTAACATGTACAATTTTGCATTTCGCAAAACCCGAAACCTCTGATCACTTGAAACGCCAAAACCCGTTCAGTAAAAAAAAAACAAAAAAAAAAAACAATCAAACCTTCTGAAACTACGAAAACACTAAACCCATCTACTTAAACTCACACCTTGAAATTATCGACAACCACAATTTCTATCAATACCAACTTACGATATCAATCAACGTTTCTTTTTTTTATACAGTCAATCATCTTTTCTCTCCAACGATGAGAGGAATGACCTTCATACCGGGCACGTGACCACGTGTCCATTAATTAATACACCACTTTCCCACCTGCCTAATTAAGCCGTCCGTGTTTTCCGTTTTCCAATTTCCATTTTTTCCGCACTATTTAGCCCGGTGGTCATGTTTCTTTCCAGCGGATTTGTCGGCGTATTGATTCGGCGTGGAGTGAAGCGGTTACCAGAAGAAAGAAATATACACTCAAGAAATGGTTTTCATCGCCTTCCATTAAGTTTTATTACACCCCACCCCCACCCACCGCGGCACTTTGAGATTCGGTAGCGGTGGACGAGAGGTTTCGGATTTGTTTAGTCATAATCGATGAGGACGGGAGGACGGGAGGGGAAAACTTAGGAAAGTTGATGATTTTTTTTTATATTAATTATTTTATTCATGTCGAATAAATTATTGTAAACCATTATTTGCTTATTTTAATGAATGTGTCGGTAATATTAACAGTTGATGATTTATGATTAACTAAGAAATGTGTATGGGATTTTATTATTTTTTAAATGACAACAAAAATTTATATTATTTGAGAGGTTATTAGTCAAAATCTCTGTTATTGTTAAGTTTAGTGTTAAGGAAGGGCCAGAATTTGGTCAGGTGATAGGTTTTGTGAACGAGTCAGGATTAGTGATATAGATAAGGTTAAAGGTAAGGCTCTCTGTAAAGTATGCAGTCGGTAGTAGTTGAAACCCTGGAGTTTTTTGTGTGTAAAATACGAATACCTCAGTCTGTCTTCTCAGTATGTATGTTTTATACAAACAGGCTTTTTCCTATCATGGGGAGTTTTGGTTGAGAGATATCAGAGTAAGGGTTAGACTGGGTTGAGGGCTAGGGGTAAGATTTTTAGGGCGAATAGCTGAGCTAATCAAGAGGACTTAATCCACACATACCATGGGGTAAGATTTTTAGGGCGAATAGCTGAGCTAATCAAGGGACTTAATCTACACATACCATGGGGTAAGATTTTTAGGGCGAATAGCTGAGCTAATCAAGGGACTTAATCTACACATACCATGGGGTAAGATGTTTAGGGCTAGTAGCTGAGATAATCAAGGGGACTTAATCCACACATGCCATGGGGTAAGATGTTTAGGGCTAATAGCTGAGCTTATCAAGGGGACTTAATCCACACATACCATGGACCGCTGTATATCCACTGGACCAGCTGATCCGCTACCGTCTCCACCACACAGCTGTAAGGGTCACATACCCCCCCCCCCACACCACCTATGTAATCATGTAATGTATACAGCTAGGCCCTCAAAAGGTCGAGCTTCATGTCAAGAAGGGATAGTCACATTTCTACAACCTTTACATTAAGCCAGAAGCCCTTAAAACTACTTAAGTCTATTGGTACCTGTATTGAAGGAAATATAAACCATAAACTCAAACAAACAGGTCATTTGTAGGGGTCAGGAGGAGACACAAACTAGCAAACATTTTTCTGAAGCGACTTGCTAAAATATTATTTTATTGCAGTGTAAAAATTCAAAAGATTTGGATCGCAAAAACACCATAAAGATATCAATAAAAATTACGTGTAGGTTGATATTTTTAAATCAAGCATTTTAATGGTGATTAGATGAATAAAAGCAACTATTTTTGATGCCTTATGTCCATGCTAAGATTATAATTTAAATACTGGCAATTGTAGTTTTCTACACAATTCGACCGTATTTATGCACGTTATGAACTTCGTGTAATTTGACTTAGTTTAAGAAATATATGATTTATGTAAGGTTAGTTTATCAGGTGAGCTGATGGTCTATGCATGTTCGTGTTCGAATGTAAAATAAAGTTAAAAGTAAGCAACGGTTTAAGGGTAACGTTATACACAGAGATCAAGCGTTAGGCCAAAGGATGACGGAACAGCTGACATTTACACGATATACTGACAAACATTGTAGTCTAGCACACGTGCTGTACACGACACACTGACAAACACTGTAGACTAGCGCACGTGCATCGATGCTACTCACCTTCACGAACACAAACAACAACACCGGAAGTCACCGTACTCAGCGCCAGCAGGTTTCCTGTCCAGTTAACCCTCTTATAACCATGGAGCTCCCAGTTAACCCTCTTACTGCCACGGAGCCTCTAGGAATCGAATACCCATCTTGTATCGATCCATTCAGTCCAAAACAACGAGATGATTACATTTCCAACATAGTTGCCCCTGTTCCATATTAAAAGTGTCACATTTTTGTACACATCCCCTGTAGTATACATGACGTCAATGGGTCACTTGTCACAAACATCTTTGTTCTTTAATCTATTTTAAACCTGGAGTGGAGTTAAATTTGAATATTTTCAGAAATCAATTTTTAGAAGTAATCGCTTGTCGATATTATTTCACAAAAAAAAAATAATTAATCATGCAACAAAATAATACAGTTACTGTGAGTTGAAAACAGACTTTTTTTAAAAAAATAAAAAAAAAAATCGCATTCGCGCTTGTGAAATAAATTACATAAAAATAAAAAATCGTTAAAAAAGTAATTTAGAACAATCACCTTGATCAGAAGAACAAAAACTAGCCCAAGATGAATGTTTACAAAACGAGAAATCAATGAGATCTGTTCGCCGATAGATCGATATGCTAATTGCCGAACTCTATAGGTTGCCAGATAAGAGTTGAGTTGAAGAAACTTACCTGGCATAAGACGTGCCGTTTCTCGACGATTGCGTTGACCCAGAAAGGCATGGTCAGCCATGACGTCATCTAGCTGACGTGTGGGCGAATACAACTTCTATAACTTGATACACGTACGCGCACACGCAAACGCACACACATACAATACATACATACACCACACGCACACACATATTACCCAAAGCACACAGACAAATGCATACACCACAAGCACACACACATACACCACATAATCACACATACACACATAAAACCAAGCATGATCAAATGGAAACGCTACTGATAGTCAAAAGATTAAATAAAAAAACCTTTAAAGTATTTTTAATTCTATTTACTATGGTTTAAAACTTATGTTAATATGAATTAATAAAACATCAATTCCCTTTACGCTTTTTATGTAATAAAAGTTATCCGTAATAGATCACATTTTTCTCGGGGGGGGGGGGGCACTTGGTATTTTTGAGGGAGGGGGGCGGACATTGGTAAAAGTATATGTTTTCTATATAAATTCCTTTTCGTTGGGGACGACGGGACGACGAAGAGATGCCTTGAAGAAACTCTGGATTACAGCTTCGATTAACTTTTACTTTGTTGATTTCTTTTCTCTAAAGGAAATATTCTTGTTCTGGTGTTTCATCAGATGTAATTGAAAGCTTAAACCAAATCATTTTGTAAGAAATTTGACACCTAAATTACCGTAAACAAAACGTCAGAACAAGTTGTAACCAGGGTTTATACTCCAAGGTTTCTTCTCCGTGTTGGTGGCTGGTGTTAAAAAGTGACAAAAATTTCGCACCGTCCATACATAAATTTTTTTTTAAGTGCACAAAAAAGTGTAAAATCGTCGCAACTTAAGTGTGTTTTAGTGCACATAATCTGATCAACAAGGAACAAGTGCAACTTAACTTGGTTCTCTAGATCCATTATAAAACCATCATGACAAACCTGTTTGTAGATTTTCATTTGGGCTGATTTGATTTCAGATTCATCGAATGTTGACTAAATCTAGGACACTACTCCACTTTATTATTCTAGTCTTTAAAAAAAGTAAGCTCTATTTGTTTTACTTTCTTATTTTTCTTCATTTTTGATTGCTCAAACAATCCCTTTGTGTATAAATAGATCAAAGTAGCGTTATAGATAAGAATATTATAAGAGTAAGGCCAGCATCACGATAATCTTGTTTTCTCGTAGCTTTATAATACCCCCTAAGTCGATAAGCTTAACCCTAACTAAGCGGTTGTTTTAACTTTACCTCATTGAGCAGAGGCGTATCGACCCTCCTGGCGCCTGGGGACAAACCTTCAATTTGGCGCCCCCTTCTCATATATTTTTTTATATTTATAATTCAAAATAGCAGCTAAAATGAGCTTATTTTGGCGCCCCTAGGGTCGGCGCCCGGGGACATATGTACCCAGAGGCGTAGCGACCCTTCCCGGCGACCGGGGACAAATTTGCACCCCCCTCAAACTTTCGATTTGCACCCACCCTCAAGATTTCGATTTGCACCCCCCTCAAGATTTTGATTTGCACCCCCCCTCAACCTTTCAATTTATTTTTCAAACCCATTTTGGCGCCCCCTAAGGTCGGCGCCCGGGGACATATGTCCCCCCCCCCTCGCTACGCTACTGTATGTACCCCCCCACCCCGACGCTACGCCTCTGTCAATGGGTACACGTATGGTCAACACTAGGTAAGGACACAATATGAAGCAGCCACAAAACTGGGTTTGTGTTTCATTACTTAGTAGTTTCAGTTTCCTTTCATTAGATTAAAAATTAAGAGAAGATATATAGATACTGGAGTTCTGTTAAGTTACGTAAGGGGATTTATGTTAACATTTACAAAACAAAATATACATTATATATATATATATATATATATATATATATATATATATATATATATATATATATATATATATATATATATATATATATATATATAATATGGTTCTTACCTCCCCGGTCACCCCCCCCCCGGTGACCAGCACTCAAGTACCGTCATGTGATCTTGTCCCTGAGCCTAGTCTCCCTGGTCCTGTACTTCTACAAGCTGCTGTTCTTTGGTGACCTGGGCGCCATGTTCCGGTCAGAGGAGAGGCTCGACTTCCGGTTTGTGGACGCGGAGGTGACGGAGGATGGGAGGACCGCCTACATGAACAAGTGGGTGGGGTTCCCACACCTAGCCCACGTCGACTGTAAGGTGAGTTACCCACACACACACCTGGCCAACTTTAAGGTGAGTTACCCATTCAACCACCTGGTCGACTGTAAGGTGAGTTACCCACACACCTGGCCAACTGTAAGGTGAGTTACCCACTCACACACCAGGCCAACTGTAAGGTGAGTTACCCACTCACACACCTGGCCAACTGTAAGGTGAGTTACCCACTCACACACCTGGCCAACTGTAAGGTGAGTTACCCACACACCTGGCCAACTGTAAGGTGAGTTACCCACACACCTGACCAGCGCCAACTGTAAGGTGAGTTACCCACTCACACACCTGGCCAACTGTAAGGTGAGTTACCCACACACCTGGCCAACTGTAAGGTGAGTTACCCACTCACCTGGCCAACTGTAAGGTGAGTTACCCACACACCTGGCCAACGTAGACTGTAAGGTGAGTTACCCTCTCACACCTGCCTAACTGTAAGGTGAGTTACCCACTCACCCACCTGGTCGACTGTAAGGTGAGTTACCCACTCCCACACCTGGCCAACGTCGACTGTAAGGTGAGTTACCCACACACCTGGCCCAGTCGACTGTAACGTGAGTTACCTACTCACCTGGCCAACGTAGACTGTAAGGTGAGTTACCCACTCACCTGGCCAACGTAGACTGTAAGGTGAGTTACCCACTCACACCTGGCTAACTGTAAGGTGAGTTACCCACTCACCCACCTGGTCGACTGTAAGGTGAGTTACCCACTCCCACACCTGGCCAACGTCGACTGTAAGGTGAGTTACCCACACACCTGGCCCAGTCGACTGTAAGGTGAGTTACCTACTCACCTGGCCAACGTAGACTGTAAGGTGAGTTACCCACTCACCTGGCCAACGTAGACTGTAAGGTGAGTTACCCACTCACCTGGCCAACGTAGACTGTAAGGTGCGTTACCCACTCACACCTGGCTAACTGTAAGGTGAGTTACCCACTCACACCTGGCTAACTGTAAGGTGAGTTACCCACTCACCTGGCAAACGTAGACTGTAACGTGAGTTACCCACTTACACACCTGGCCAACTGTAAGGTGAGTTACCCACACACCTGGCCCAGTCGACTGTAAGGTGAGTTACCGGCTCACCTGGCCAACGTAGACTGTAAGGTGAGTTACCCACTCACACCTGGCTAACTGTAAGGTGAGTTACCCACTTACCCACCTGGTCGACTGTAAGGTGAGTTACCCACTCCCACACCTAGCCCACGTCGACTGTAAGGTGAGTTACCCACACACACACCTGGCCAACTTTAAGGTGAGTTACCCATTCAACCACCTGGTCGACTGTAAGGTGAGTTACCCACACACCTGGCCAACTGTAAGGTGAGTTACCCACTCACACACCAGGCCAACTGTAAGGTGAGTTACCCACTCACACACCTGGCCAACTGTAAGGTGAGTTACCCACTCACACACCTGGCCAACTGTAAGGTGAGTTACCCACACACCTGGCCAACTGTAAGGTGAGTTACCCACACACCTGACCAGCGCCAACTGTAAGGTGAGTTACCCACTCACACACCTGGCCAACTGTAAGGTGAGTTACCCACACACCTGGCCAACTGTAAGGTGAGTTACCCACTCACCTGGCCAACTGTAAGGTGAGTTACCCACACACCTGGCCAACGTAGACTGTAAGGTGCGTTACCCACTCACACCTGGCTAACTGTAAGGTGAGTTACCCACTCACACCTGGCTAACTGTAAGGTGAGTTACCCACTCACCTGGCAAACGTAGACTGTAACGTGAGTTACCCACTTACACACCTGGCCAACTGTAAGGTGAGTTACCCACACACCTGGCCCAGTCGACTGTAAGGTGAGTTACCGGCTCACCTGGCCAATGTAGACTGTAAGGTGAGTTACCCACTCACACCTGGCTAACTGTAAGGTGAGTTACCCACTTACCCACCTGGTCGACTGTAAGGTGAGTTACCCACTCCCACACCTAGCCCACGTCGACTGTAAGGTGAGTGACCCACTCGCCCAACTGGCCAACTTTAAGGTGAGTTACCCACTCACACACCTGGCCAACTGTAAGGTGAGTTACCCACTCACCCGAGTCAACGATAAAAAACTTGAAATAAAAAAAATTGTTTAGAGATGTCCGTATCAACGATGTGTTTAGAAATGTCCGTATCAACGATGTGTTTACCTTGAACGTTTCGTTTTGCTTTGTGACCAGGCCGCGCTGTCCAAGAAACAGGACAACAGGCTGTACCCAAAGACAGTCATGCGTGTCGCCGCCTCACAGATCGCACAAGACAGCCGCAACTGCTCATCCTTCCTGCACGAGTACGGCTTCCAGAGGTTCTCAAACGTCTCCCAGGAGGAGGTCGAGTTTCCCATCGCGTTCATCATTTTGTTTCACAAGGACCTGGACCAGGTATTTATGTGTCCTGCAAATCTTTTAATCAATACTAAATTATGAGATTTCTTAAAATGATGTTGCACAGTTTTGAAGAAGCACTTTCAAATGAATGCAATTCTTGTTGAATAAATAACACTCAACGACAAAGTCTGAAAATCACAACCTGATCTAGTTTTCATTGTTTGGCAGTTGATGTAATTTACTATTTATAATTCTTTTACCTACTTTCCTTTTCAAATGCGTAATAGAGATTGGTGTTGTAATTCTGCAAGGCCCTATAGAGATTGGTGTTGTAGTTCTGCAAGGCCCTATAGAGATTGGTGTTGTAATTCTGCAGGGCCCTATAGAGATTGGTGTTGTAATTCTGCAGGGCCCTATAGAGATTGGTGTTGTAGTTCTGCAAGGCCCTATAGAGATTGGTGTTGTAATTCTGCAGGGCCCTATAGCGATTGGTGTTGTAATTCTGCAGGTGATGCACCTGATACCCCAGACCTACCTTGTCCTATAGAGATTGGTGTTGTAATTCTGCAGGTGATGCACCTGTTACGCCAGATCTACCGACCCCACAACGTCTACTGCCTGTCCGTGGATCTGAACTCTGACCCCGGCTTCATCAACTCCGTGCGAGCGGTGGCCGCGTGTTTCCCCAACGTGTTCCTGGCCACCCAGTTGGAGCACATCGTGTACGCCGGGTACGCTCGTCTGATGGCCGACATCCACTGCATGCGGGACCTGGTCGCTCACCAGGTCAGGTGGAGGTACCTCATCAACATGCCGGGCCAGCAGTTCCCACTCAAGTAAGGCGTTTCAAAAATTTTAAAGTCTATTTTCATATTAAGATATTTCTACTTTTGATCTATTTCTTATCTGATTGTAAATAGGGACGAAAGTAGACACAAAGTTGTAGGGTATATAAAGACCAGCGTTGGACGAAAATGTAGTAGTAGTAAAGTTCCCTTTCAAACCTGACGGTCTATAGGGCAAGTGAAGTAGAGTTCACTTGTTTCTGTGACCTCGGCATATGAAGAGATAGTGTGCTCAGTACTATGCCCAGCCGCCTTTACTTTCCCTAACGTGAGTTAGGTACCCATCAGAGCTGGGTGGACTCAGGGACTGTCTACTGACTGACTTTAACCCGGATTCGAACTCAAGACTTACGGGTTAGCAGTCCAGCTCTCTACAGCTAGACCATTCCGTTCGGACGAAAAAGGAGATTTAAAAAAAATCTACATTTTTGGTTCATTTGTAGTATAAAAAGAACTTCGAAAATCGACATCAATATTTCTTTTCTTCCTGGAGGAAAATAGGGCCTTTGACAAAAGACTCTACTTTTCGCGGTCTCCTTTCACTCCTTTCAGATGTTTCTAGCGCCTTAAAACTGGATATAGTTTTTGACAAATTTTTGAGTTCAATTATTTAGCTTGCCGTTATCTATTTTCTATTTTTAAAAATAAAAAGTTAATAATAAAAAATAAATAAAGAAAAAGCCATATTTATTGATTCAAAGAGCAACGCAGGCAGTGTTTCTTCCAGACTTTTTTCTCCGGGGGGGGGGGGGCACTTGAAATCTTCGGGGGGGCGGTAAATTTTCTTCGGGGGGGCGGACACTGTTAAAAGTATATATTTTCTATATAAATTATATAAATTTCATTTCGTTCGGGGGGGGGGGGGGGGCGATAACAATTTTTGGGGGGGGGCTAAGCCCCCCCCCCGAAGAGATGCCTGGAAGAAACTCTGAACGCAGGTGATGCAATGCAGGCTGCCGATTACCATGCCCGTACTCTATCTCAATCATAACTTATCTCTTGAGTGATGTGTGTAGTGTTTAAACGTTGATATTTTGAACAGAACGAACCTTGAGATGGTGAAAATCTTAAAGATTTTTAACGGAGCCAATGATATGCTGGGTGTAACTGGTAAACGGTCACTGCCACAGCGTTACAAGATCAAACATCGCGTCATACTGGACAGCAAGACAGGTCAGTTAGTGTTGTCATTCTCTGATAAGATGACATGTCAATTTGTTTAATTATCACACATCAAATCAAGTTTGTTCCATTAAAATTAAATCCCGATAATAACTATTAGAGACTTTTTTAAAAATGTATAAATGATTCTTCTGTATATTTATGAGTTATTATTATGTTATCATTTCTCCAATCCAGAATTATAAATTGACCTACTAACTACTTGTTATGTTGCAGGAAAAAACATAACAGCAGAAACGGTTGAAAGGAACCCCCCACCCCCACACAACTTCCAGATCGTCAAAGGCAGCGCTTATGGGGCGTTTTCTAGAGCATTCGTTCTTTTCGTGCTGGTCAATAAAAAGGTCTGGGACTTGATCCGGTGGTCTAAGGACATCGAGAGCCCAGACGAGTATGTCTGGTCAACTGTCCATCACACGAAACTCTTGGACGTACCAGGAGGTTACCGAGGTTAGTGCCACTACCACTGGTCAACTGTCCATCACTAGACATGGACGTACCGAGGTTAGTGCCACTACCACTGGTCAACTGTCCATCACTAGACATGGACGTACCGAGGTTAGTGCCACTACCACTGGTCAACTGTCCACTACACAACATGGACGTACCAGGAGGGTACCGAGGTTAGTGCCACTACCACTGGTCAACTGTCCACTACACGACAAGGACGTACCGAGGTTAGTGCCACTACCACTGGTCAACTGTCCATCACACGAAACTCTTGGACGTACCAGGAGGTTACCGAGGTTAGTGCCACTACCACTGGTCAACTGTCCACTACACGACATGCACGTACCAGGAGGGTACCGAGGTTAGTGCCACTACCAGTGGTCAACTGTCCACTACACGACATGGACGTACCTGGAGGGTACCGAGGTTAGTGCCACTACCAGTGGTCAACTGTCCACTACACGACATGGACGTACCAGGAGGGTACCGAGGTTAGTGCCACTACCACTGGTCAACTGTCCACTACACGACACTCTTGGACGTACCAGGAGGTTACCGAGGTTAGTGCCACTACCACTGGTCAACTGTCCATCACACGAAACTCTTGGACGAACCAGGAGGGTACCGAGGTTAGTGCCACTACCACTGGTCAACTGTCCACTACACGACATGGACGTACCGAGGTTAGTGCCACTACCACTGGTCAACTGTCCATCACACAACATGGACGTACCAGGAGGGTACCGAGGTTAGTGCCACTACCACTGGTCAACTGTCCACTACACGACATGGACGTACCGAGGTTAGTGCCACTACCACTGGTCAACTGTCCATCACACGAAACTCTTGGACGTACCAGGAGGGTACCGAGGTTAGTGCCACTACCACTGGTCAACAGTCCATCACACGAAACTCTTGGACGTACCAGGAGGGTACCGAGGTTAGTGCCACTACCACTGGTCAACTGTCCATCACACGAAACTCTTGGACGTACCAGGAGGGTACCGAGGTTAGTGCCACTACCACTGGTCAACTGTCCATCACACAACATGGACGTACCAGGAGGGTACCGAGGTTAGTGCCACTACCACTGGTCAACTGTCCATCACACGAAACTCTTGGACGTACCAGGAGGGTACCGAGGTTAGTGCCACTACCACTGGTCAACTGTCCATCACACAACATGGACGTACCAGGAGGGTACCGAGGTTAGTGCCACTACCACTGGTCAACTGTCCATCACACAACATGGACGTACCGAGGTTAGTGCCACTACCACTGGTCAACTGTCCACTACACGACATGGACGTACCAGGAGGTTACCGAGGTTAGTGCCACTACCACTGGTCAACTGTCCACTACACGACATGGACGTACCAGGAGGGTACCGAGGTTAGTGCCACTACCACTGGTCAACTGTCCACTACACGACATGGACGTACCAGGAGGTTACCGAGGTTAGTGCCACTACCACTGGTCAACTGTCCACTACACAACATGGACGTACCAGGAGGGTACCGAGGTTAGTGCCACTACCACTGGTCAACTGTCCACTACACAACATGGACGTACCGAGGTTAGTGCCACTACCACTGGTCATCTGTCCACTACACGACATGGACGTACCAGGAGGATACCGAGGTTAGTGCCACTACCACTGGTCAACTGTCCATCACACGAAACTCTTGGACGTACCAGGAGGGTACCGAGGTTAGTGCCACTACCACTGGTCAACTGTCCATCACACGAAACTCTTGGACGTACCAGGAGGGTACCGAGGTTAGTGCCACTACCACTGGTCAACTGTCCATCACACGAAACTCTTGGACGTACCAGGAGGGTACCGAGGTTAGTGCCACTACCACTGGTCAACTGTCCACTACACGACATGGACGTACCAGGAGGATACCGAGGTTAGTGCCACTACCAGTGGTCAACTGTCCACTACACGACATGGACGTACCAGGAGGATACCGAGGTTAGTGCCACTACCACTGGTCAACTGTCCATCACACGAAACTCTTGGACGTACCAGGAGGGTACCGAGGTTAGTGCCACTACCACTGGTCAACTGTCCACTACACGACATGGACGTACCAGGAGGATACCGAGGTTAGTGCCACTACCACTGGTCAACTGTCCACTACACGACATGGACGTACCAGGAGGGTACCGAGGTTAGTGCCACTACCACTGGTCAACTGCCCACTACACGACATGGACGTACCAGGAGGGTACCGAGGTTAGTGCCACTACCACTGGTCAACTGTCCATCACACAACATGGACGTACCAGGAGGGTACCGAGGTTAGTGCCACTACCACTGGTCAACTGTCCATCACACGACCCTCAAGGACGTACCAGGAGAGTACCGAGGTTAGTGCCACTACCACTGGTCAACTGTCCATCAAACAACATGGACGTACCAGGAGGGTACCGAGGTTAGTGCCACTACCACTGGTCAACTGTCCATCACACAACATCGACGTACCAGGAGGGTACCGAGGTTAGTGCCACTACCACTGATCAACTGTCCACTACACGACATGGACGTACCAGGAGGGTACCGAGGTTAGTGCCACTACCACTGATCAACTGTCCACTACACGATGGCTGCCATCTGTTGTAGTTCATTGGTAATCAACCCTGCACGGTGTGCTAAAATGAATTTCCTAGAAATCGTTTAAGGGGAAACAACTAGCATACAATTCGAAGACGAGAGTAATACTTGCATTACCTCCCCTAACACTTTTACATGAATCTATTTGTTCGCATAGAGCTGTAAAAAAAAAAAGATTAACATTTTTAATAAAAAATCTTAATTTAGTGTAAAAATGACATTTGAACCGATCAAGTTCATTATTTAGAATACATGTTAAGATAACAAAAATAACATTTACAAAGAAAAACAAAAACACGATTCTTGAAATATTTACGTTTTTGATCAAGTCGAACCATGTTAACCCCATAAAGACCAAGTTTAAACAACATTTACCCGTACAGAATTAGTTGTAATGTTAACCCTTACAAAACTAAATTATCAACCAAACAACCAAAATTCAAGCAATATAACTGACATTCATAGTTCAAACATTAATCCTTACAAACTAATTAAATTTTTTTTTTTACATAATTAAATGTAATTTTAACCGTTATAAAACTGTGTCACTAAACCTTACAATCTCAACTGTAACATTAACGCACACACATCTAGCTTTTATATTTACATTAACAGAACAAACTGAAACTTTAATCATTACATAATTAACTATAACAATAACCCTTACATATTTAGGTCTAACGTTAACCCTTTCATACCTAACTTAACAATGACCATTACATGTTTAGATCTAGCGTTAACCCATTCATACCCAATTTGAACATTAACCCTTACAGGCCTACCAGAGAAGAAGAAGTACCTGACGACATACGTGGCCTGGGAAAACGAATCACCCTGCGCCACCATACACGTGCGATGGGTCTGTATCTTCTCAACTTCCGGTAAGTCAGCGGTCCTCATGTTGTGGTCCGACATCATGTTGTGGTCCCCATGTTGTGGTCAGACAAAAAGTCAGCGGTCCCCATGTTGTGGTCAGACAAAAAGTCAGTGGTCCCCATGTTGTGGTCCCCATGTTGTGGTCAGACAAAAAGTCAGCGGTCCCCATGTTGTGGTCCCCATGTTGTGGTCAGACAAAAAGTTAGCGGTCCCCATGTTGTGGTCAGTCAAAAAGTCAGCGGTCCCCATGTTGTGGTCAGACAAAAAGTCAGCGGTCCCCATGTTGTGGTCTGACATCATGTTGTGGTCAGACAAAAAGTCAGCGGTCCTCATGTTGTGGTCCCCATGTTGTGTTCAGACAAAAAGTCTGCGGTCCCCATGTTGTGGTCCCCATGTTGTGGTCAGACAAAAAGTCAGCGGTCCCCATGTTGTGGTCAGTCAAAAAGTCAGCGGTCCCCATGTTGTGGTCAGACAAAAAGTCAGCGGTCCCCATGTTGTGGTCTGACATCATGTTGTGGTCAGACAAAAAGGCAGCGGTCCCCATGTTGTGGTCCAACATCATGTTGTGGTCCCCATGTTGTGTTCAGACAAAAAAGTCAGCGGTCCCCATGTTGTGGTCAGACAAAAAGTCAGCGGTCCCCATGTTGTGGTCAGACAAAAAGTCAGCGGTCCCCATGTTGTGGTCAGACAAAAAATCAGCGGTCCCATGACTGTAAGTTCAAAAAGATAGCGATAAACTCGAAAACATAAAAACCAAGGTTCAGTATGTGTTTCAACAATGCCTTATGGGCCTAATATATTAAAGGACACATAGAAAGCTCTACCTAAATACCATCTTGAATCCCCCTCCCCATCTTCCAGATCTGCCCATGCTGGCGGGGCGCCACGAGCTGTTCGCCAACAAGTTCTACATCGACTTCCACCCGACAGCCCTACACTGCCTGGACCAGTTCCTGTACAACCTGACTGTCACAGGGACCTCACGTGACCTGCAGTTTTACCGCTCACTGCCGTTTGTTGGGCCGCATAAAGAAACAGGAGAGGACTAGACGTCATCAACAGCAGGGAACTAGACGTCATTAACAGCAGGGAACTAGACGTCATTAACAGCAAGGAACTAGACGTCATTAACTGCAGGGAACTAGACGTCATTAACAGCTGGGAACTGTCGCCAGTCTTTCAATTAAAATAATTACGTCCACACGTGAATTGTAAATTATTATATATTTAGACAAAACATTTGCTAAAAATATCGATGTGTCCAGATGTTTACTACTTTGTCTTGTGTGTTCAGTCTTTACAAAAGTTCGGTATTTATCGTAGAACGAACCATCTGTGTGAAATTTAATGTAAAACACGGTATGGTGATATAAATACAAAAAAATATTTTCTAAATTTCTTATTTAGATCAGTAGGTATTTGAAGTAAAATACCCACCTTACAAAATATTGGCTCTATCAATTATGCAATATCAACCTTACATCAGATTGGTGATACAAGCTATGTTAAACCCACCTTATACCACACTGGTTATATAAATGAAGCAATACCCACATTATATCAAATTGGTGATACATGCCACCTTTAGACTGGAGTGAAGTAAATACCGTCTGAGCATATTTTGGTGAGCTAAAGTAAAAAAAAAAACATCCTGTCCACCATCACTTGATCAGCTGAGTTGAGTTTTTGTACAGCCAATAATTTGGTTCCTTTCAACTTAAGCATTAAATGTATTTGTTTAATTGTATACAAATATAAAATAAATCATGGGATTATCAGAAACTCTGAAAATACCACCATCTAGTGATAGGGAAGGAAGGTTTTTTTTTTTTGAGCTTAAAAATATTTTACAATAATTGTTTAATTAGTTGCATTTATACTATATTTATATACAGTTTAATAGATATGGATATAAAATAGCATAAAATATTATATTGAAATCTTATATCACACTGCAAATCTGTATCAATCAATTCCCATATGCTATAAATAGCCAGCCAATAACTTTGAAATACACCACGTGACCTCCGAAAGTGAAAGTAATTCTTCAATGAAACATGTTGCCAAATGTTGCATCTTCAGGCTTGGCCAATAACTTGCCCCAATAGAGAGTCTTGTCTGTAAACAAAGTGTTCGGGAACAGGAGAACAGTGATCCCCTAGAGATAGTCGTGTCTGTAAACAAAGTGTTCGGGAACAGGAGAACAGTGATCCCCTAGAGATAGTCTTGTCTGTAAACAAAGTGTTCGGGAACAGGAGAACAGTGATCCCCTAGAGATAGTCTTGTCTGTAAACAAAGTGTTCGGGAACAGGAGAACAGTGATCCCCTAGAGATAGTCTTGTCTGTAAACAAAGTGTTCGGGAACAGGAGAACAGTGATCCCCTAGAGATAGTCTTGTCTGTAAACAAAGTGTTCGGGAACAGGAGAACACCCATCCCCTTAAGGACATCTTAGCACCTGCTTTGCCATAAAGTTTCGAGTATACGTCAAGTTCACCAGATAAGCGACAAGATCAAAGTGAGACAGGCAGCAGATGTTTTGCGTGAGAGTTAGATCAGTATCCACTTGACGCTCTAATCTGATCGACTGTCTACTTCAGCAGGATGTTCAATATATTTGTTTTAGGCCTAACAAAAATCTTTTTTTTTTAAACTACATTCAAGGGATATACGTATTAGGATAGTTTTTAATTTTTGTTTTTTAAATCCCCAAATGACTAAGATGCAATAATGACCACCAGTGGCGTAGGCACGGGGGGGGGGGTTAGTGGGGGTCATAACCCCCCATAGACCCCTCGGTATATATAAAAAGTATAAGGGGGGTGCAAATCGAAAGTAGGGGGGGGTGCAAACCGAAAGTTTGAGGGGGGGGGGGGTGCAAATCGAAAGTTTGAGGGGGGGGGGGGGGTGCAAATCGAAAGTTTGTCCCTGGGTAAAAATTGGAAACCCCCCCCCCCCCCCTTGAGACGATCCTGGCTACGCCACTGATGACCACAATTAACCAAACATACCTTTTACCCCGCTACAAGATCAATAAACACACTTAGCTATCTAACACAAACAACAGGAATTCGCACTTTTTTAAATTACTAAAATGTACCACATTGGCCTGAGGTAATAAACATACGGAAGAACTAAGACACAGACTCACCACACACCCACACAACTACCACACACCCACATCACACACACCCACACCGACACACACCCCATCTCCATACACCCCCACCACACCCCCACCACACCCCCACCATACTCCCACACATCCACACTGACAACAGATCGGAGTTTCCAATCAAAGTGTGTTGTTTTATATAATTGATAAACTCAAATTTTCTGAAACGCACACAAATTGGTGATAAAAAAACAATGGCGAAGGTTCATCTCTAAAAGCTCTAAGCCATTTTAAGGATAAATATAAGCCACCCCAGTTTACATAGAGCTAAATTTTTTAATTTTTTTTTTATTTGACGAGAACATCCAAACAGAAACAAACATGGCGCCCATAAACACCACGATGTCAATAAAACATCCTATGTTAAAGATTATAGTACTGATGTTTTATGAAGTCAGTAAAACATACCATCTTGAAGATTGTCATACAGATGTTTTATGACGTCAATAAAAACATCCCATCTTAAAGATTGTCCTACAGATGTTTAATTACGGTATTATGTGACGGAACAGCGCGGATGTCTACACCATCAGTTGATCTTATCCGCTTGATTAAAAGCCAGAGAAAGTATAAATTGGAAGTCCAAACAGCCAATGTCACATGTAAATCTTTACTTTTCACAGAGAAACGTACTTCAGACATCTCATCCATAAGGTAACATTTCATATTATAATAAACACCTTTATAATAAAAAAAAGAACTAAAGATTAGTTATTAATGATAATATTTTCCTTTTATTGCCAAAGATAAAGTTAAGAATGTTAACTTTGTGGTCAAGTTTGCACATCAAATTACAAATAGTCGATGAAATGCGACCAATTATTTTACTTTTATATAATTTGATGCTTGTTTTTCTTATTTTTATTGCATTTAAATGCTCGCTTGTGTTCTACTTTTGAACTAATTAAAAAAATATTTCCTGATACTTAGTTAAAAAACAACAACTACTTAACACCCTAATTATTGTAACCAATTGTAACCAAGAAATTTACTTTGAAACTACCTGTACACAGCACTTTGTTTAAATAAATTTTCGTGACAATATGCTAGAAATGTAAACATAATGTTGCTAATATTCACCCCTGAAAGTCTACATCGCGTCTCAGATTTGTAAGCAATACCCGTATAACTGTCCAGTATTGTGTTTAGAAATCTTCTAAGAAATGACATGGTTAATTTTAACTTTCTCGTATATACGAAGTAGGCCTATAGAGAAAGTATTGTAATCGTGAAAAAAAAATCGATATTTTTGCAAATCTCGACATTTTACAGCTCCCCGAGTCGGTAAAACATAGTTTTGCAATCTTGTCCGTATGTCTGTGTGCATGTGTGTGTGTGTGTCTGTGTGTCTGTAAACACGATAACTTGAGTACCGTTACAGCTAGGTTGATGAAATTTCATATATAAGTATTATATCAAAATCGTAGATCGGTATCAACTTTTGAGCGATTTCCGATAACCGGAAGTGGACCTTTTTCTACTTTGAATTTTTAAAAGCCTATAACTTGAGTACTATTTCAGATAGATAAATGAAATTTCTTACGTAAGTAAAAGATATAATTCTCTACCTTCTGTCAAATTTTGAGTAATTTCTGTTGACCAGAAGTACTAATTTCCGCTATTTCAGATTTCTCAAAAAAACGAATGTAAATTTATAAAGTACTAATAATATTCCTCACTATTATGCATATTTTATTTGGCGTTCACTTGGTGTGCAGTTCTTTTTCCTACGAGATTTTATTCTATTTTAAAAAGTTTAAGTATTTAAAAAGCGATTAAAAATCTTTTCTATATCCCGAGTTGCCATCCCCTGTTGTTTCATATAAGAATATTCAAGAAAGTTTAGGGGAGATCACTCCCGGTTTATTTAAATCTAATTAGATTGAATTTTGAAATGTTTGCATTGTCATCGGAAATAATATAATTATTGATTAACTTAGAATTATCAATGGTTTTAAAGAAATCGTCCCGGTAGAAAAGGGTTAAAATTGATTCTAATTATGCTCACAAATACAAAGAAAACATTAAGTGACTTACAAAAAGCTTGAAAAAATAGTTGTAACATCAAAACATATGTGCTAGTGTATAAGTTTGGGTCAATTCTTTTTTGCCATCATTTTTTTATGGATCTGAAGCCTTGGTATTAAAATATTCTTCTTAGGGCTTTATATTATACGCAGGATGGCATTATCGTGCCCGAAACATTTGATGCTCCAAATGTTTATTGTTCGGGGGAGCTGTTAGAACTGCAAGTGGTAGCTCGAGGTGATTAAGGCGCTTTTCGCTTGCATGGCATGTGGCTGGGGGGGGGATACATTCTATGTTGTATAGAACAGTTTGCATGAAAACATACCAAGAACAAAGGGCGGGATAGAAAGGGCTTGTAGAAGAGGGGCGGGGGGTGGGAGGTGGGGGATGTAGCTGTATTACCCAAACATCCCTCAAGAAATGTAACTAGTTTCATGTCGTTTCAACCACTAAATACATAAATAAATTTTTAAAAAATTCCCCACCAGATGTCTCTGTGTTTCCTGCTGCTGACGGTTGTCACGTGGGCCAGTGCACTGAGTGCACCGACTGAGGTGCCCATAAACCACATGGAGGCCTTCCTGCCCACCAAGCTGTACAACAAGGTCAAGGAGGCGGCTGAGGAGGCTTTGCTGGACGCCGAGTCCAAGATCAAGTACCTCAGGGACGTCTACTTCAATGACACGGACTGGAGCGACGAGGGGTGAGCTTTCATCTCTGATGTCAGGATTTGTGTGTCTGATGTCAGGGTTTGAATGTTTGATGTCAGGGGTTGTGTGTCTGATGTCAGGGTTTGTGTGTCTGATGTCAGGGTTTGTGTGCCTGATGTCAGGGTTTGTGTGTCTGGTGTCAGGGTTTGTGTGTCTGATGTCAGGGTTTGTGTGTCTGATGTCAGGGTTTGTTTGTCTGATGTCAGGGTTTTAATGTTTGTCTGATGTCAGGGTTTGTGTGTTGTCTGATGTCAGGGTTTGTGTGTCTGATGTCAGGGTTTGTGTGTCTGATGTCAGGGTTTGTGTGTCTGATGTCAGGGTTTGTGTGTCTGATGTCAGGGTTTGTTTGTCTGATGTCAGGGTTTTAATGTTTGTCTGATGTCAGGGTTTGTGTGTTGTCTGATGTCAGGGTTTGTGTGTCTGATGTCAGGGTTTGTGTGTCTGATGTCAGGGTTTGTGTGTCTGATGTCAGGGTTTGTGTGTCTGATGTCAGGGTTTGTTTGTCTGATGTCAGGGTTTTAATGTTTGTCTGATGTCAGGGTTTGTGTGTTGTCTGATGTCAGGGTTTGTGTGTCTGATGTCAGGGTTTGTGTGTCTGATGTCAGGGTTTGTGTGTCTGATGTCAGGGTTTGAATGTTTGTCTGATGTCAGGGTTTGTGTGTCTGATGTCAGGATTTGAATGTTTGTCTAATGTCAGGGTTTGAATGTTTGTCTGATGTCAGGGTTTTAATGTTTGTCTGATGTCAGGGTTTAAATGTTTGTCTGATGTCAGGGTTTAAATGTTTGTCTGATGTCAGGGTTTTAGTGTTTGTCTGATGTCAGGGTTTGTGGGTGTCTGATGTCAGGGTTTGTGTGTCTGATGTCAGGGTTTGTGTGTCTGATGTCAGGATTTGAATGTTTGTCTGATGTCAGGGTTTTAATGTTTGTTTGTCTGATATCAGGATTTGTTTGTCTGATGTCACGGTTTGAATGTTTGTCTGATGTCAAGGTTTTAATGTTAGTTTGTCTGATTTAAGACGTCAGGCATTTTTGGCCGAATCTTTACCCCTTCCCCCCCTTTTTTTCTTCACATTTTTACACGTTACAAAAAAATTAGACCCTTAAATTTTAATTTATTTCCAGCTTTTTGAAACTGCAATTTTAAATCAATATTAATTAAGATAACCAAAATCGGCTAATAGTTCGCAAAAAATAAATAAATGAAAGCAGTATTGAATAACAATGCTCTGTACCTTCACCCGCCCCCAGATAACACAATATAAACCACCCACCTCAGCCACTACGTGAGATATACTATATACATGAAACCTGTTTACAAGTTGATATGCCAGTGGTTCTTAACCTGGGTTCGATCGACCCTTTGTGGGTTCGGTTACTCAGTCTCAGGGGTTCGGTGGAGGTCAAAACACACACCCGACTCCTATGATTCACGATCAGATTTTGTCAGTGAGCACAATAAAAAGGTCATTGAATGCGCATATGAAACTGGTTGGGTTCTGTACCTCCAAAAAAGTTTGAGAACCACTGAGATAGACCACTATCGGCAAGTTAAACCTCATTATTGCATCCTTTCAATTATTCAAACTCGTGAGGTCAAAGTTCGATGAAATGCCCTGTGAATATTGTATCGTCTAACCTCATTATTGCATCCTTTCAATTATTCAGACTGGTGAGGTCAAAGTTCGATGAAATGCCCTGTGAATATTGTATCGTCTAACCTCATTATTGCATCCTTTTAATTATTCAGACTCGTGAGGTCAAAGTTCGATGAAATGCCCTGTGAATATTGTATCGCCTAACCTCATTATTGCATCCTTTCAAATATTCAGACTCGTGAGGTCAAAGTTCGATGAAATGCCCTGTGAATATTGTATCGTCTGCTTCGCCACCCAGAGACCGGTGCCCTGTGATGAGGCTTGTGGCAAGAGGTGCCCGGAGGAGACGGGAGGTAGGATATGACGTCAGTCATACGTTAGGTCATATGAGATCATATGCAATTGGTGTATACACTAGAGGTGACGTCAGTCATACGTCAGGTCATATGAGATCATAAGCCAGTGGTGTATACACTAGAGGTGACGTCAGTCATACGTCAGGTCATATGAGATCATAAGCCAGTGGTATATACACTAGAGGTGACGTAAGTCTTACGTTAGGTCATATGAGATCATATGCAAGTGGTGTATACACTAGAGGTGACGTCAGTCATACGTCAGGTCATATGAGATCATAAGCCAGTGGTGTATACACTAGAGGTGACGTCAGTCATACGTCAGGTCATATGAGATCATAAGCCAGTGGTGTATACACTAGAGGTGACGTCAGTCATACGTTAGGTCATATGAGCATAAGCCAGTGGTGTATACACTAGAGGTGACGTCAGTCATACGTTAGGTCATATCAGATCATATGCAAGTGGTGTATACACTAGAGGTGACGTCAGTCATACGTTAGGTCATATCAGATCATATGCAAGTGGTGTATACACTAGAGGTGACGTAAGTCATACGTTAGGTCATATCAGATCATATGCAAGTGGTGTATACACTAGAGGTGACGTAAGTCATACGTCAGGTCATATCAGATCATACGCAAGTGGTATATACACTAGAGGTGACGTCAGTCATACGTTAGGTCATATCAGATCATATGCAAGTGGTATATACACTAGAGGTGACGTTAGTCATACGTTAGGTCATATCAGATCATACGCAAGTGGTATATACACTAGAGGTGATGTCAATAGAGTGTTATTAGAGTACGACATCATGTTTATTTTTTTCAAAGAGGCCACAAAGCTAACTTAATCAGCCTCTGCTCCTTTTATCGCCTAGCCTCTGCCCTTTTAATCCCTATTCTCTGCCCTGTTATAGCCTATCCTCTGCCCTCTTATGCCATGCACTCTGCCCTTTTATATCCTACCTCTGCCGTCTTACCATTTTATTTATTTTTTTCAGACGCCGATCGCAAGAAACGAGCTGATCTTTTAGGAGGATTAACCGGAGGACTATTAGGCGGGGGCGGCCAAGGTGGTCTGTTAGGAGGATTAACCGGAGGATTATTGGGCGGGGGCGGCCAAGGTGGTCTGTTAGGAGGATTAACCGGGGGATTATTGGGCGGGGGCGGCCAAGGTGGTCTGTTAGGAGGGTTATTAGGAGGACCAGGTGGTCTACTCGGAGGGTTGACAGGCCCTAAAGGTTTGATCCCCTCCCTGATCCCGATCCCAGAGGTCACCCAGCTACTGTGTGGAGCGGACCAGAACAAAGCAGCCCAGCGTACAGCGGCCGGTAGTGGCAGTTTGTTAGGCGGTCTCCCAGTGGTAGGCGGGCTGGCGTCAAACCTTCTCGGAACAGCAACCAACTTGGTCGGCGGCTTACCCTTAGTGGGGAGCCTCGCTGGGGGTTTATTGGGGAACGCGGGAGGTAGTGCAGGTGGGTTAGGCGGGTTAGGAAGTCTTTTGGGCGGGTTAGGTAGGTAACAACGTTTGATGAGCGACTAAGTCCCAATTGTACTCTCTCGTAGTGGGCCCACAACGACATATTTAGGTGGCCTAATTTTGTGAATCAATTTACTAAAAGTAATTTAGTTAATTATTAGAAGGACTTGAAATTATTTTTTTTTAGAAAGGAATGGCGAGCGAAATTTCAGATTAGTCTGTTGTGCTACGCGCTATCAACCACAAGTAACAATAAAAAATACATTAACAAAAAAAAAGGGTTTAGTGTTGTGAAATAACACAGTGAAGACGTGTTGGCTAGAGAGTGTCTGAATGTGTATGTGAGCTAGAGTGTGTATGAATGTGTATGTATGCTAGTGTGTTGGGACTTAGATATAAGATGTAAGAACGGAACAGTGCATGTTTTAATGGTGAACGTAGAGTTAGAAACTTCTTAGATGGGATGGCCATTGGTTCTTACCCTATCTACGTTTCTATGACAACAGATGCTGAGTCGAACGGAAACGGAGGCCGATTTATTGCCTTTAATCTACCATTGAAAGGTAAATAAATTTATTCGATTTTAGAGACTCAAAAGAAGGAGACAAAAAATAGTTTCCTTATCCTTTTGCTCATCTAAACAGTTGTGATTTTAAAAAAATAATAATTCTACCAGTTCCAAGAAAATCTGGGCTAAAATAGTTAAGCCTCATTATAGCTAACAAGCTTCATAACCATTGGCCTTACTGTATTGGAATAATTTATTTATATCTTGTAACTAACCAGAAGGTGGGCTAGAAATGGGAAGAGTTGCGGGGCCTTGTCTATCTAAACTTACAAGTAATCGCGTTGGGTGTTGTTTCATGATAATAAAACTGCCCGAAAGAACAGATTGGAAAATCTAAATATCTAAAAATATCTAACATAATACACACATGGTTAATTTCTTCTTAAAAACCAAGTGATCGCGAATAGCCAATAACATAATGCTAACGGAGATGGTAATATATTAATTTCAATCGTTTGCCGAAAGCCAACAATCATTGCCATTTTGAAAGCATGAAATAATGCAAGGTAAACTAAATGAATAATATGTGTGACTTAAAAACTAAAATATATTTATACAAACAAAAACATACGCTGATAAAAGATAAAATAAAATAAGGAAAAATAAAACCACAAAGATTTAAAACTTGAACTGTAGCATAATCAATCTTGGGAAAACTTAAAGCCTAGCTTTGGTCAAGACGATTTAAGATGTTTATGTGCTAATAGCAAAGTTGTAAGTGCTAGTAGCAAATTCTTCTTCTTCTTCTTCGTTCCTAATTATTAGTGTTGAAGGGGATCGAGATTTATCTGCCAGTGGGTTTTGAACTCGAGAATTTGTTAGAATTTATCAACCATGAGCTTTTTGCCGACTCGACCCCGCCTTCAACACAATTAAGCGTTACGTGTCAACTGGTTATGCGCCATTGAGGCCATTGACTCCGATTTCAGCCTGCTTTTCTTTTTGGATTTGCTTCCATAGCCTTTGTCCAACCTAGAACAAACTACAAGGCAGCAGTTGTTTAATTTTGGAGTTCTCTCCTAGAAAAGTAGCTGTCCCCAGCTAACGAGCCTCATCTGCCCGAGGGTTTGAACTCGAGACTTTACCGACTCGACCACGCCGACCCCCTAGTAGCAAATGTTTACGTGCTATTATCAAATGTTTAGGTGCTAGCCGCAAATGTTTAGGTGCTTTTTGCAAATGTTTAGGTGCTAGTAGCAAATGTTTATGTGCTAAAACAAATGTTTGGCGCTGATAGCATTGCTTCTAAAAACAGTGAGTAGGCGAAATAAAACAGAAACTATTTAGAACATTTTCTTCAACTATGTTTTAGGTTTGACACCTAGAGAAGCGAGACCAATGGTTCTAAGATACGGTCTCCCGAAAATCGTCATGGTCAAAAGCTTTGGCCATCGTCCAGACGTCAACTTTGTGGCGTTCCCGGGCATCAGGAGGAAGGTGTTCACTCTAGGAGGTCCATGGAACACACAGTCATCGTTCAGAGGACTGCAGCTCAAGGCAAACGGAGCTCACACTATCTTAGCTCAGCCGAATTTAGCTCACGGATTCTTAGCTCAGCCAAATTTAGGCCAAGTAATTTTAGCTCAGAGAAACTTATCTTTGCCAACCTTTGCACAGACAATTTTAGGTCAGCCAAACCTAGTTAGGTTAAACTTAGCTCAGTTAAACCTGGCACAACCAAGCTTAGCTCCATCAAACTTAGCTGACTCATACAAGGTCTATTCGATCTTAGCTCAGCCGAACGTAGTTCAATCCAACCTAGCACGGCATAACTTAGCCCTGCAAAACTTGGCTGAGCTAAAATTTGCTCAGCCACACTTAGCTCTGCCTAATTTAGATCCGCCCAATGTACCATGGGCAAATTTAGCTCAGCAAAACTTAGTTGTGCCACACTTAGCTCGGCCAACCTTAGCTCTGCCTAACTTGACTTGGCCGAACTTAGCTCTGCCACAGTTTGCTCGACAAAACTTAGCTCATCTAAACTTAGCTCCGCCTAGCCTAGCTTGGCCAAACTTAGCTCATCTAAATTTAGCTCCGCCACACTTCGCTCACATAAACTTAGCTCACACAAACTTAGCTCCCACAGGCTTGGCTAAATTAGTGAGCGGCCGGCTTCGCCTTGTGCCAGGGGTGAGGACGGTGGTGGTGGTCAGACGAGTGGTCGGCCTTCTCAAGAGAATTCTGGGCCTGTCTTGGCAGAGACGTCACATGATGGTCAACGTTCCCCGGCACGACAAGGAACCTGAGACGGGAAACTTCAGGGAACAAGTGGACAATGTAATCAGCCAGCGCTTGTATGAGATCAGCAACAACATTGTCGGTTTACTTAGCAACAAAATAGATGCGACCCTAACCGAACATTGGAACAGAAATATTCACGATTTAGTCAGCTTTCTAAGCGACCAAATCGACAACGTTTTCATAGAGCAGTGGAACAAAAATGTTCATGTTCTAGTCAATGTACTAGGCGATAAAATCGATAACTCAATTAATGTACAATGGTACAAAAACGTTCACATTTTGGCAAACTTGATTACCGAGCAACTGGAAGCGTCAAGTTCACATCAGTGGGATAGAAATATACATGTCTTGTTTGATTTACTCAGCAGGAAGTTTGATGAGAGTTTCGACAACAAATTCCGCATGAACTTCAAGACTCTAGGCGACATTCTGCATCGAGATCTGATCGGGATAGCCAACATGTTGATACATAATTTTAACGGAGCCACAAGCGGATATTTCCATAATTTAATGCTTCATTTGAATGATTTGTTCCATCATTTTCTTCTTCAATGGACAATGGCTTTTAAACTTATTTGCAAGAACTTAAATGTGGTTAACGGTAATTCTGTAGCAAAGGTGGACGATTGTACAATGGGTGGTATCACAAAATGTCCTCCGAAAAATACGACCAAATGCATCTACAATCCAACCAAATGCTCCGCTGGCGTTATCAAAAACTGTCCACCAGGAGTCACTGGGATTCCTCAAACTAAAAATAGCATGAGTGGTGACGTCAACAAATTGGTGATGCCCAACAAAAGTCAGATCGAGGCTGGTTCCGACACTCAAGGTGGTTTGGTACTGAACCAGCAGCCAGAGAGTGGATGTGAGAAGACGGGTGTGGTAGGTGGGGTGTCAGTTGTGACTGGATTTGTAGATAAAACTTTGGTGGATGGTTTGTTGAATGATACAATAACACAGGCCATGGGCGGGTTAATTGATGGGCTCACAGGGGGGCTGGGGTTAGGGGATGTGACAGGTGATATAGGGGGGTTGGTGGGGAGTGTGCCAAGTGTGTTGGGGGTGGTGGGTTCTTTAGGGACAGGCGTCGGGAATTTAACAGATGGTTTAGGGAAAACTCTGGGAAGTTTGACGGATAAGACGCTGGGTGGAGTGAAAGATTTGTTGGGTAGTGTACTAGGTGGAGGGGGTGTAGATCAAACACTTGGTGGATTAACTAACGGCTTAAATGGCACGCTTGGTGGAGTGAAAGATTTACTGGATAGTGTGCTAGGTGGAGGTGGTTTAGACCTTGGTGGATTAACTAACGGCTTAAATGGCACGCTTGGTGGAGTGAAAGATTTGTTGGGCAGTGTGCTAGGTGGAGGTGGTTTAGACCTTGGTGGATTAACTAACGGCTTAAATGGCACGCTTGGTGGAGTGAAAGATTTGTTGGGCAGTGTGCTAGGTGGAGGTGGTTTAGACCTTGGTGGATTAACTAACGGCTTAAATGGCACGCTTGGTGGAGTGAAAGATTTACTGGATAGTGTGCTAGGTGGAGGTGGTTTAGACCAAACACTTGGTGGATTAACTAACGGCTTAAATGGCACGCTTGGTGGAGTGAAAGATTTGTTGGGCAGTGTGCTAGGTGGAGGTGGTTTAGACCTTGGTGGATTAACTAACGGCTTAAATGGCACGCTTGGTGGAGTGAAAGATTTACTGGATAGTGTGCTAGGTGGAGGTGGTTTAGACCAAACACTTGGTGGATTAACTAACGGCTTAAATGGCACGCTTGGTGGAGTGAAAGATTTGTTGGGCAGTGTGCTAGGTGGAGGTGGTTTAGACCTTGGTGGATTAACTAACGGCTTAAATGGCACGCTTGGTGGAGTGAAAGATTTGTTGGGTAGTGTGCTAGGTGGAGATGGTTTAGACCTTGGTGGATTAACTAACGGCTTAAATGGCACGCTTGGTGGAGTGAAAGATTTGTTGGGCAGTGTGCTAGGTGGAGGTGGTTTAGACCTTGGTGGATTAACTAACGGCTTAAATGGCACGCTTGGTGGAGTGAAAGATTTGTTGGGTAGTGTGCTAGGTGGAGATGGTTTAGACCTTGGTGGATTAACTAACGGCTTAAATGGCACGCTTGGTGGAGTGAAAGATTTGTTGGGCAGTGTGCTAGGTGGAGGTGGTTTAGACCTTGGTGGATTAACTAACGGCTTAAATGGCACGCTTGGTGGAGTGAAAGATTTGTTGGGTAGTGTGCTAGGTGGAGATGGTTTAGACCTTGGTGGATTAACTAACGGCTTAAATGGCACGCTTGGTGGAGTGAAAGATTTGTTGGGCAGTGTGCTAGGTGGAGGTGGTTTAGACCTTGGTGGATTAACTAACGGCTTAAATGGCACGCTTGGTGGAGTGACAGATTTGTTGGGCAGTGTGCTAGATGGAGATGGTTTAGATCTTGGTGGATTAACTAACGGCTTAAATGGCACGCTTGGTGGAGTGAAAGATTTGTTGGGCAGTGTGCTAGGTGGAGGTGGTTTAGATCAAACTCTTGGTGGATTAACTAACGGCTTAAATGGAACGCTTGGTGGAGTGAAAGATTTGTTGGGCAGTGTGCTAGGTGAAAACGGTTTAGACCTTGGTGGATTAACTAACGGCTTAAATGGCACGCTTGGTGGAGTGAAAGATTTGTTGGGCAGTGTGCTAGGTGGAGGTGGTTTAGATCAAACTCTTGGTGGATTAACTAACGGCTTAAATGGAACGCTTGGTGGAGTGAAAGATTTGTTGGATAGTGTGCTAGGTGGAGGTGGTGTAGACCTTGGTGGATTAACTAACGGCTTAAATGGCACGCTTGGTGGAGTGCAAGATTTGTTGGGCAGTGTGCTAGGTGGAGGTGGTTTAGATCAAACTCTTGGTGGATTAACTAACGGCTTAAATGGCACGCTTGGTGGAGTGAAAGATTTGTTGGGCAGTGTGCTAGATGGAGGTGGTTTAGACCTTGGTGGATTAACTAACGGCTTAAATGGCACGCTTGGTGGAGTGAAAGATTTGTTGGGCAGTGTGCTAGGTGGAGGTGGTTTAGATCAAACACTTGGTGGATTAACTAACGGCTTAAATGGAACGCTTGGTGGAGTGAAAGATTTGTTGGATAGTGTGCTAGGTGGAGGTGGTGTAGACCTTGGTGGATTAACTAACGGCTTAAATGGCACGCTTGGTGGAGTGCAAGATTTGTTGGGCAGTGTGCTAGGTGAAAACGGTTTAGACCTTGGTGGATTAACTAACGGCTTAAATGGCACGCTTGGTGGAGTGAAAGATTTGTTGGGCAGTGTGCTAGGTGGAGGTGGTTTAGATCAAACTCTTGGTGGATTAACTAACGGCTTAAATGGCACGCTTGGTGGAGCGACAGATTTGTTGGGCAGTGTGCTAGGTGGAGGTGGTTTAGACGTTGGTGGATTAACTAAAGGCTTAAATGGCACGCTTGGTGGAGCGACAGATTTGTTGGGCAGTGTGCTAGGTGGAGGTGGTTTAGACCTTGGTGGATTAACTAACGGCTTAAATGGCACGCTTGGTGGAGTGAAAGATTTGTTGGGTAGTGTGCTAGGTGGAGGCGGTTTAGATCTTGGTGGATTAACTAATGGTTTAACCGGTGGTTTAACTGGAGCTATAGGTGGAGATACATCGGCAGGTTTAACAGGGAATTTACTTGATGGTTTAACCAGTGGTTTAACTGGAGCCATAGGTGGTTCTAATGGAAGCATAATAGGAGATACGTTAGGAGGTTCAACTGGGAATTTACTTGATGGTTTAACCGGTGGTTTAACTGGATCCATAGGTGGCAATACATCAGCAGGTTTAACAGGGAATTTACTTGATGGTTTAACCGGTGGTTTAACTGGAGCCGTAAATGGAGATATATCGGCAGATTTAACAGGGAATTTACTTGATGGTTTAACCAGTGGTTTAACTGGAGCCATAGGTGGTTCTAATGGAAGCATAATAGGAGATACGTTAGGAGGTTTAACTGGGAATTTACTTGATGGTTTAACCGGTGGTTTAACTGGATCCATAGGTGGCAATACATCAGCAGGTTTAACAGGGAATTTACTTGATGGTTTAACCGGTGGTTTAACTGGAGCCGTAAATGGAGATATATCGGCAGATTTAACAGGGAATTTACTTGATGGTTTAACCAGTGGTTTAACTGGAGCCATAGGTGGTTCTAATGGAAGCATAATAGGAGATACGTTAGGAGGTTTAACTGGGAATTTACTTGATGGTTTAACCGGTGGTTTAACTGGATCCATAGGTGGCAATACATCAGCAGATTTAACAGGGAATTTACTTGATGGTTTAACCGGTGGTTTAACTGAAGCCATAGGTGGTTCTAATGGAAGCATAATAGAAGATACATTAGGAGGTTTAACGGGGGATTTACTTGATGGTTTATCCGGTGGTTTAACTGGAGCCATAGGTGGCAATACATCGGGAGGTTTAACAGGCAATTTACTTGATAGTTTAACCGGTGGTTTAACTGGAGCAATAGGTGGTTCTAATGGAAGCATAATTGGAGATACGTTAGGAGGTTTAACAGGGAGTTTACTTGATGGTTTAACCGGCGCTGGAAGCGGTTCAACCGGTACAGCAGGACTTCTTGGGGGATTACTAGGAGGCTCAACTGACCTTTTAACTGCAGGCTCAACCGGACTTTTAACTGGAGGGTCAACCGGATTTTTAAATGGAGGCTCAACTGACCTTTCGACTGGAGGGTCAACCGGAATTTTAACTGGAGGGTCAACCGGACTTTCAACTGGAGGATCAACCGGACTTTTAACTGGAGGCTCAACCGGACTTTTAACTGGAGGGTTAACCGGACTTTTGACTGGAGGATCAACTGACCTTTCGACTGGAGGATCAACTGACCTTTTGACTGGAGGCTTAACTGGACTTTTAACTGGAGGGTCAACCGGACTTTCAACTGGAGGTTCAACTGACACTTCGACTGGAGGCTTAACTGGACTTTTAACTGGGGGGTCAACCGGACTTTCAACTGGAGGTTCAACTGACACTTCGACTGGAGGCTTAACTGGACTTTTAACTGGGGGGTCAAACGGACTTTTGACTGGAGGATCAACTGACCTTTCGACTGGAGGGTCAACTGACCTTTTGACTGGAGGCTTAACTGGACTTTTAACTGGAGGGTCAACCGGACTTACAACTGGAGGATCAACTGACAATTCGACTGGAGGCTTAACTGGACTTTTAACTGGGGGGTCAAACGGACTTTTGACTGGAGGATCAGCTGACCTTTCGACTGGAGGGTCAACTGACCTTTTGACTGGAGGCTTAACTGGACTTTTAACTGGAGGGTCAACCGGACTTTCAACTGGAGGGTCAACTGACACTTCGACTGGAGTCTTAACTGGACTTTTAACTGGGGGGTCGACCGGACTTTTGACTGGAGGATCAACTGACCTTTCGACTGGAGGGTCAACTGACACTTCGACTGGAGGGTCAACCGGACTTTTGACTGGAGGATCGACTGACCTTTCGACTGGAGGGTCAACCGGACTTTCAACTGTAGGGTCAACTGACCTTTTGACTGGAGGGTCAACAGGACTTTTAACTGGAGGGTCAACCGGACTTTTAACTGGAGGATCAACCGGACTTTTAACTGGAGGATCAACCGGACTTTTAACTGGAGGGTCAACCGGACTTTTAACTGGAGGGTCAACCGGACTTTCAACTGGAGGTTCAACTGACACTTCGACTGGAGGCTTAACTGGACTTTTAACTGGGGGGTCAAACGGACTTTTGACTGGAGGATCAACTGACCTTTCGACTGGAGGGTCATCTGACCTTTTGACTGGAGGCTTAACTGGACTTTTAACTGGAGGGTCAACCGGACTTTTAACTGGAGGGTCAACTGACACTTCGACTGGAGGCTTAACTGGACTTTTAACTGGGGGGTCAACCGGACTTTCAACTGGAGGTTCAACTGACACTTCGACTGGAGGTTTAACTGGACTTTTAACTGGGGGGTCAAACGGACTTTTGACTGGAGGATCAGCTGACCTTTCGACTGGAGGGTCAACTGACCTTTTGACTGGAGGCTTAACTGGACTTTTAACTGGAGGGTCAACCGGACTTTCAACTGGAGGGTCAACTGACACTTCGACTGGAGGCTTAACTGGACTTTTAACTGGGGGGTCAACCGGACTTTTAACTGGAGGATCAACTGACACTTCGACTGGAGGCTTAACTGGACTTTTAACTGGGGGGTCAAACGGACTTTTGACTGGAGGATCAGCTGACCTTTCGACTGGTGGGTCAACTGACCTTTTGACTGGAGGCTTAACTGGACTTTTAACTGGAGGGTCAACCGGACTTTCAACTGGAGGGTCAACTGACACTTCGACTGGAGGCTTAACTGGACTTTTAACTGGGGGGTCAACCGGACTTTTAACTGGAGGATCAACTGACACTTCGACTGGAGGGTCAACTGACCTTTTGACTGGAGGCATAACTGGACTTTTAACTGGAGGGTCAACCGGACTTTCAACTGGAGGGTCAACCGACACTTCGACTGGAGGCTTAACTGGACTTTTAACTGGGGGGTCGACCGGACTTTTGACTGGAGGATCAACTGACCTTTCGACTGGAGGGTCAACTGACACTTCGACTGGAGGGTCAACCGGACTTTCAACTGGAGGTTCAACCGGACTTTTAACTGGAGGGTCAACCGGACTTTCAACTGGAGGGCCAACAGACCTTTTGACTGGAGGGTCAACCGGACTTTTAACTGGAGGGTCAACTGACACTTCGACTGGAGGGTCAACCGGACTTTCAACTGGAGGATCAACCGGACTTTTAACTGGAGGATCAACCGGACTTTTAACTGGAGGATCAACCGGACTTTTAACTGGAGGGTCAACCGGACTTTTAACTGGAGGGTCAACCGGACTTTCAACTGGAGGTTCAACTGACACTTCGACTGGAGGCTTAACTGGACTTTTAACTGGGGGGTCAAACGGACTTTTGACTGGAGGATCAACTGACCTTTTGACTGGAGGGTCAACTGACCTTTTCACTGGAGGCTTAACTGGACTTTTAACTGGAGGGTCAACCGGACTTTCAACTGGAGGGTCAACTGACACTTCGACTGGAGGCTTAACTGGACTTTTAACTGGGGGGTCAACCGGAATTTTGACTGGAGGATCAACTGACCGTTCGACTGGAGGCGTAACTGGACTTTTAACTGGGGGGTCAACCGGACTTTTGACTGGAGGATCAACTGACCTTTTGACTGGAGGCTTAACTGGACTTTTAACTGGGGGGTCAACCGGACTTTCAACTGGAGGTTCAACTGACACTTCGACTGGAGGCTTAACTGGACTTTTAACTGGGGGGTCAACCGGACTTTCAACTGGAGGGTCAACCGGACTTTTAACTGGAGGTTCAACCGGACTTTTGACTGACAACACATTGGGAACAGTCACAACAACAATGAAACCTAAGTTTGTCACAACTACCTCTGTTAAAACCACAACAACTACCAAAAAACCAAGCGGCGGATTACTTAGTTTCCTTGGTAGATGAGTTCGGTCCTCCATTCTTACTGGTAAACATAAAACTACATAACAAACTAGGAATGTAAAAATAAATAAATTTACAGGGTGTCATAGGCTAATTTACAGGGCGTCTTTGGCTAATTTACAGGGTGCTTAGGCTAATTTACAAGGTGTCATAGGCTAATTTAAGGGTGTCATAAGCTTATTCACAGGGTGTCAAAGGCTAATTTAAGGGTGTTATAAGCTAATTTAGAGGGTGTTCATTGGCTAATTTACAGGGTGCCATAGGCTAATTTACAGGATGTCATAAGCTAATTTAAGGGTGTCATAGGCTACACTACAAGGTGCCATATTCTAATTTACAGGGTGTCATAGGTTAATTTACAGGATGTTTTAGGCTAATTTACAGGGTGTTATTGGCTAATTTACAAGGTGTCATAGGTAATACTATAACTGGGTGATGCTGTACACATAATTAGAAGGCGTTTTAGACTAGACTAAAATGGTATTAAAATGGTATTCATAAAAATTGCTTTAGATAAATTATACAGTTTTAAATAATTAATTTCTCTCATAAGAAGCGGTTTACGGGCGAGAATTTTTTTTGAAGCGGGATTTTGGGAAATCTTTTGCTTTAAAACGCAGGATTTTGGAGAGTGAATGTGCTTTTAGACGCGGGATTTTGGGAAATCTTCTGCTTTTAGACGCGGGATATGATGGATTAAATGTGCTTTTAGATACTAGGTTTTGGGAAATATACTTGCTTTTAGACGCGTGATTTCGGGATTGTGGTTTTAGACGCTATTTTATTTTTGGGGGAGGGGGCATGGTGGTGGTGGAGTGAATGTGCTTTTAGACGCTATTTGGGGGGGGGGGGGGTGGGCGGAAGTGAATCTGCTTTTAGACAGTAACGAATCTCTTGCCTGTAGCTGTCACCTACAACAATTAAAATAATTTCCAATAATTGACATTACAGAAAGATTGCATAGTACCGACTTCAGTAGTACTCAAGTAATACTAAAGTAGTACTTAATTAATACTAAAGAAGTACTGAAGTAATACTGAAGTAATACTAAAGTAATACTGAAGTACTACTAAAGTAATACTGAATAATACTAAAGTAGTACTGAAGTAATACTAAAGTGGTACTTAAGTATGTATGATGTACAAACAACTAGACATGTCAATATGTTGTGGGAGTATTTAACTTAAAACTGGCTTTTCTATATATGCAATAGATACAATATATATATATATATATATATATATATATATATATATATATATATATATATATATATATATATATATATATATATATATATATATATAGTAGACATGATTTGCACATTTCATTAATAAAATGGTTCCGGTACGCTAAAAACGTGTCTGATAATTATTTGTTAATGACACGGCTGTGCATTTGTCCAAGATTGTCTAAAATCGACAATCAGTCAAAACATATATTGTGAGCTTAAAATATCTCAATGTGATATAAACATTAATTAGCTCATTAAAAACAATTTGTATTATGTGATACGTGTTATGAATGTAAAAAATATGACAATATATAAAAATAGTTTTGATGAATTTTCTTTTTTATAAATGTTGCAAATGTTGCTTGTGATATTTTATGATTAAATTTTAAATTATCTCCCATGTGTGTCTATTATTGTGTTTAATCTTTTTGCAGCAGTCAGTGCAAATTGTAAAGATGTTGTTCAAAGAACATCACGCATGTAAAAATATAGTGAGCTGTTTTATGTGCTACTGTGGTTTATATATATATATATATATATATATATATATATATATATATATATATATATATATATATATATATATATATATATATATATATATATATACTGTGTTATATATATATATTCTGGTCGACTCACATGACTTGAACTTATACATGTGTACACATCTATGTACAGCTATTGCTTTGACTCTCTAAAGATGGACGATGTACTTTAGTTTGTACACAGAGGTGGGCTGGGCCACAGGGACGAATCCCAGTTAGTCGACGTTAGAATAAAAATCATGAAAACAATTCAGCAAGACATTGAATGTATCTGTAAGTATACAGTGCAGCTCTATACAACTCACTGTGACGGAGCAGTGTTCAATAATATGTCACAGATCAAGTTCAGAGAGCAACATATGCACTGTATGTGCATCTTCATCTTACACTTCATCGGGAGTCGTAATGACGGTGGCCGTTTTGTGGAAAAAACTAAATGACGGGAGCTTATATGTCGGGAGCCAAAATGACGGGAGCCTATTTGTCAGGAGCCTTATTGACTGGAGCCCTTTTGTCGTGAGCCTATATAACGGGAGCCTATTTGTCGGTAGCCTAAATGACGGGAGCCTATTTGTCGGGAGCCTATATGACGGGGTCCATATGTCGCTGGGCCACAGGGACGAATCCCAGTTAGTCGACGTTAGAATAAAAATCATGAAAACAATTCAGCAAGACATTGAATGTATCTGTAAGTATTCAGTGCAGCTCTATACAACTCACTGTTACGGAGCAGTGTTCAATAATATGTCACAGATCAAGTTCAGAGAGCAACATATGCACTGTATGTGCATCTTCATCTTACACTGGGTAAAATGTATTTGAATTGCTTTAAAAGAAGCTCTTGAATATGGTACATAAATATTGAACACATCAGTTGCCGGCATGCAAGGACAATACACTGGGTACACGAAATGATGTCATACATCAATACATAGATATTTGGTGCTGGGATAAGTATTGAATATTATTCGGCATGGTATGTGATACCACTAATTACATTTGAAAAAAAAAATAATTACGCTGTTTTAATGTAAAATGACGAAACTATGCATTATCATAAATACTGTATCTATTTTTACTGTGAGATATTTTGTCCAGGATGTTGAGTCGGGCATTTCTTGACTACGATATTTTGTCTTGGATAATTTGTCTGGAGATATTTTGTCTTGGATAATTTGTCTTGAGATATTTTGTCTGGGATAATTTGTCTTGAGATATTTTGTCTGGGATAATTTGTCTTGAGATATTTTGTCTGGGATAATTTGTCTTGAGATATTTTGTCTGGGATAATTTGACTGAGATCATTTACCTTGACATGGTACCGAATCGTTTGACCTATGTGCACTGTGAACGTTTGCGTCACCCTAAGTGATAAGAAAAATTTGACAAATTATGTTTCAGTCAAGCAAAGATCTGGATGTCTTGTTACCTTCCTAGAAGTTTTTAGGTTCACCCACGACACTTGCCCCCCTACTGTACGGCAATACTACATAAAAATGTTCAATAACTGAACAAAACAAAAATGAACTAACATTTAATAGAATAATTAAGTGTTCCACTTATTACGTGTCAACATTTTATGCGCAATATAGGCTGTTGATTCCGATTTCATCCTGCTTCTCATTTGTATTTCCTTCCATAGCCTTTCCCCACCAAAGAATAATCTACAAGGCAGCACTTTATTCATTATTTTGGAGTTGTCTCTCCTAGATGGATTGTCGGCCCACAGTTATCGAGCCTCATCTGCCCGGGGTTCGAGCTCGGGACGTTTCGGTTTTGAATGACCTTTACTGACCCGACCACGCCGACCTCATCAGAAAATCAAATCCTGACAGCCTTCATCTCATCTATATAATCGATCACACCAACCAACATGGTAATTACCAGATTTTTGTCAATGTTATATACAATTGGCCACATTCACTAAAGGTAATTTGATACAATCAGCTCCTACTCTAAAAGTTATTAACTTTATCTCAGACTTAAATAGCATCAGATGATCTCCCACGAACACATTTGTCGTATTAAATAAAACAAGCCAAATAATACACATCAGTGGGGTTTTCCACATCAAATGTTGCCAATCTTTGAGAGTCTAGATATTCAAGTCGGGTTTCATACCAAATAAGATACATTCAACTCAAGGAGTTGTATCTTTGGATATTTCTGTCAGATAACTACAGATATTAAAACCACACAGCCTAATTGTTAATTAGGCAAAGTTGAAGCTTGATCAGCTGTCACATGATGACCGGGTCACGTGATAGACAAGACCCAATTAAAAAAAAAACTTGCTGTCTAATTTGTCTGACAAGATGCTTCTCATTAACACGACGATCTGTGACATCAAAAGGGAAACGTGGCTATAAATAGCTTGACAACATATTACGTTACATGATCCGGGGCATCCCTTGTTTAACCCTAAAGTTCAGCCTGAACTATTTGTGCGGATGGTGTGATTCGCGACAATCATGTTTACATTAAAGACCCGAGCAAGAAAATTATTTGAGTCGGCTTGTGATTAACTGCCATGGGTTAAGTTCACTACAAAAACGCAAATGTAATTGTATGCGCTGCAGATAGTAAAATACCGTTTCAAAAACATTTAACGCCCGAGTTTTCACTAAAGATTTATATTCAAAAACAATAATGCTTCTTTTAGTTCCTTTAAAAATTTTTTTTAATTATAAAGGATGTCAGGCTATTATTATCAGATTTTTCTCATAAACTTCAGGGTTGGCTGTGAGTTTGTGGTCACATTTCGTAACTCAAATTTGGCCTACTTCTAATAAAGATGAATAGGTTTGGACGACAATGCAAAAATACCTAATTGTCCTTTTTATTTAATTATTTAAACATTAAATTAGTTATTAAAATAATTTAAACATCACTTTATTCAGTTAAAAAACAAACACCAAAAAGGTTGATGTGATGGGGGGGGGGGGGAGAATAACATGAATAAGTATCAGTGATAGCCCGATCTGTTTGGCGTCTGAGCTGACCAACGTACACATATGTTTTACATTGATTCAACTACACCAGTAAACACATACTTCTACTGTTTTGGTATTACGAGAATCCCTGAGCCTAGTTTGATGAGGTTAGAAGTTTAGATATTATGAGAATCACTGAGCCTAGTTTTATGAGTTTAGAAGTTTAGATATTACGAGAATCCCTGAGCCTAGTTTGATGAAACTATTGATGTAACAGAATACAGCCGCCCACAGAAATCTGCCATCTATACATACATCCATATGTCGTCAAAGTGACATATATGAAGCCAACATGTCCTGATGTAAACGGACGATACCGCTGTTATTGGGCTGAGACAGAGACACATAAATACTGACTCGTAGAATATCACTGTAAGTTTTAATAGGGAGTTAAGGAGTTGTCAAGTGGTAAGTTTTTTTTTCTTCTATTAAAATTTCAATTGTAAAAAAGTTAGCAATTATTATTTTTAATTCAATTAAAATATTCTGATACATATTCTATGAAATTTTATTATAATTTTTAAATGTTTAAAACATGTTAGAATATCGGGTTATTAAAAAAAATCATGCCATTGATTACAAAATGAACAATCTCAAACACCAGCAAATTAACTTAATTAGTGACCTAATCACATGTCATAATATTCTCTCGCATTTTATTTAAAAATATAAACGGCTGCATATACAAAAAATAAACTGACAATGTCTGGCGACTTCAATCACTAGATGCTGGTACCAACCCTCCTTGTGGTTGTGGTCACTAACTTAAAAATAAAATGAGTTCAGAGGTTGCCCATACGGGCTGTAAAAGTTCAGTGATAACCAAATCAACCATCCTACCATCACCAGATGCTGGTCATAAATTCAGTAGTTGACCAAAAGATCTAACCAAATCAACCATCCTACCATCAGTAGTTGACCAAAAGATCTAAACAAATCAACCATCCTACCATCACTAGATGCTGGTCACAAATTCAGTAGTTGACCAAAAGATCTAAACAAATCAACCATCCTACCATCACTAGATGCTGGTCACAAATTCAGTAGTTGACCAAAAGATCTAACCAAATCAACCATCCTACCATCAGTAGTTGACCAAAAGATCTAAACAAATCAACCATCCTACCATCACTAGATGCTGGTCACAAATTCAGTAGTTGACCAAAAGATCTAAACAAATCAACCATCCTACCATCACTAGATGCGGTCACAAATTCAGTTGTTGACCAAAAGATCTAAACAAATCAACCATCCTACCATCACTAGATGCTGGTCACAAATTCAGTAGTTGACCAAAAGATCTAACCAAATCAACCATCCTACCATCAGTAGTTGACCAAAAGAGCTAAACAAATCAACCATCCTACCATAAGTAGTTGACCAAAAGAGCTAAACAAATCAACCATCCTACCATCAGTAGCTGACCCAAAGATCTAACTAAATCAACCATCCTACCATCACCAGATGCTGGTACCAGCCATCCTTGTGGCTGTGGTCACACTCCTGGCTGTTGACGGCAGACCGTCTGGAGATTTCGTCCGCTCCAACTACCCAAAGTCATTCAACCGTTTCCTACAGCGTGCCATCACTGAAGGTTTGATCAGGGCAGAGAGGGAACTGGAGAAAAACTCTGAGCACTTTAATGGCACTGACTGGACCAATGACACGTAAGGTTTTTTGTTAATATCTGTCGCTTTCATGAGCTTACATGTAGTTTAAAACAATTTCATAGAATAGTACTTGCCTTCTTCTACATGTTATTTAATACAACTGACCAACATCACACGCACGAGTTTATCGAGATAACAACATTGAAATATGACCTCAAGATATGCGCACTTAATCATTTAGATTTAGTGGGATGGACGGGCACAAATGGCAAGTCGGAGTGACTGAACTTGCTTGCATATGGAAAAATGAGTTTGACACAACTGAAATCACAACCAGTTGGATTTTTTATCATCACTCAAAATTTCATTACATCAGTGGGCATCTTATTTAACACATTTTGTTATTAAGGAAAAATTAAAGTCTTTAAGGCGCCTTTTCCTTTGACATATACCAAACTGAAGTTTCACTTATGTAAGATAAACTTTGATTGATAATTAATTAAACATGACTCAACGACCTTTTTGTTTTTCTTTTTTCTTTTTGGCTTTTTCCAATTTTGTTATTTATCAAAAGCATTAAAAAATAAAATACGTGTAATATGTATGTAAAAAAAAAAAACAACAAAAAAAAACAAAAAATAAAACAACAAAAACAACACTGTAGGCCGACACGATTAAAGAACATTTTTAATGTCAACAGCTTACAATTGAAATGATAAGGCTTATAGCAATTCAAATTTGCAATAGAAACAATACACTAGCTTTCTGATGGTATGTGCTGCTTTCTTATAGTGCCCAGATGAGATGACATATAAAATACACTAGTCAGTCGTGCTGGTATCCTATGGTGCCCAGATGAGATGACATATACATATATCTGATCAGGGACGTGAGGTCAAGGTTCAACAGTTTACCCTGCAGCAGCGGCTACTGTGACTCGTGTTTTGGCTACCGGAGGCCGGACCTGTGTGAGCAAGTTTGTGAGCAGAACTGTTGGGAGGATGAGCAGGACGGCGAGAAAGATGAAAACGGTTTGTCGTTCTCTTAGTGCTTCACTAAGATTTTAGAGTTAACAAATAAAACGCCGTGGTGGTGGTGGCGGAGGTGGGGGGGGGGGGGGGGTTATAGTGGACAAAGCTCTAACCCGAAAGTCAAGAGTTCAGCTCCAGACCCACGGGAAAATGAGACTCTAGCTTAGGCCAGCAACCCATCTAGGGGAGAATACTCTGTAATCAACCGCCTCACAAAGAATAGCAAGCCTAAGTTGTAGTCGCAGAGCCATGTTGGAAGGAGATATTTCATTAAGTTGAAGGAAAAAATTACAATACTGCTCGTTCATTGACTTATTGATTTATCTTTGCGATATTAAATTTAAAATAGAATAAAATAATCATCATAAAAACAAAATCGACAAATTTTTACACCAATAGTAAGAGTAATAAAACGTTACTATTTTACATTAGCGATCAATTTTTTTATTACATTTGCAAGATATTTATATTTTAAACAATCATCATTTGCAAACTATTTAAATTATAAACAGCTAGTAATAACATTTTTTGAAATAAAAATGGCAATTCTATTTGTCTGCAGAGTATGAACGTCACAAGAGAGACGGCTTGCTCGAGATTTGCATACAGATCGACATCCTGGGGCTGGGCAAGCTACTGACGGGACTGCTGGGGCTGGGGGGTGACTCGGGTGGGGGTCCTTTGGGAGATGTCCCCATCGTGGGGGGACTACTCAATGGGCTGCTGGGTGGGTTAATTAGCGTGGAGCCTCAGGTGGGGGGTGTGCTAGGTGGCTGAGCGGGTAGGGCTCAATGTCATGGGATGTGGGAAGTTTATTTAGTAGACGGACTTACGGTAGTTGGTGGTTCAGTGGGTGGGGCTCAGTGTCAAGGGGGCGTGGGTAATTTATTGAGTGGATCCCCGTTAATTAGTGGTCTGCAAGGTAGTGGAGGGGGTGGGGGCTAAAGTCAAGGGGGAGGGGGTAGTTTATTGAGTGGATCCCCGTTTATTAGTTGTCTGCCAGGTGGCGGAGGGGTAGTTCACTTGGCTCATTACTGGGTGGTTGGGTATCTAATTCTGAACGGTCTATTCTAAAATGTTGAAATTTGAACTGAAAATAAAAATTAGCTACATGATTTTGTTTTGTGTTATCAACCCCACACGATGAAAGAGAGTGAAATCTAATTAAGGTGTTCAACATTTTCTATATTTTTCTGTGTATGTACAAACCATGTTTGTGATTCTCCGTCCGCCATCGAATTATTTATTGTACAAGTTACAAAACGATCTTAAAATATAGCAATAATTATTTAATGGTTTTTGTACATCAGATTACACACGAAACAGTAAAACTGTTTTAGTTTTTAGATACACTCAAACCAAAGTAAAGTCTGAATTAAGTCAAATTGAATGTCACGATGTATTGTCTTCATGTCTTGACCCACGTACCAACTACGAACCGTATCTGTTAGTTAGAAGTGCCTGCAATTTCACACGGACGTTTCGATCTAGACCAGTGGTTCCCAGCCTTTTTCGAGTGGCGACCCCCTTTTATAAACAGTAATTGCCCTGCGACCCCCATAGAATTAAAAAGCCGAAATTAGTATGGAAATTAATAAGCACTAAAATAAGATTGTCTAGTAGACTTTCAATATGAACTATTTTAATAGCATGAGTAAAATTGCATACTATTCACAAAGCCTTCGTGGTTAAGTTTTTAATTAATTTTTTTTTTGTTAACGCCAACCTATGTCATTATAATTATCTTAATTTTATTTTTAATCGAAGAATAGTGTTGAAAATATATTCTCGAAAAGTCAATCAATTTTACGTTTGGGTATGAATGGTGAATACTACACCAAAATTGTGTCGGCAGTTTTTCATCTTACTCGGAATCATTCTGCAAATCAAAGAATTCATCTTGTAATTCATCGGGAATGCTGGCAACTTTAAGGGAAGAAGAGAATGGGTAATGCTCAGAGAAATAGCGATGCAGTTCGTTTTCAAGAGATTCAAGATGCCCAGAAATCTCTTTTTTCAAAATTTTAATTATCTCACTGATTCATCTACCACACCGCAGATTTTCTCAAATTTACAATATTTCCAAGATTTATTTTTTTTACCGATTTTGCAGCTTTGATAAAAATGCCCCGAGATTATCATGGAAAGTTATAATATCCGTTCATTTTCCCTGAAGCTTCAGGTTAAGCTTATCTTGATGTTCGAACACATCTGCTAGGTATGATACTCTCTCCAACCAATCTATGTCGTTTTAAATATACCCAAAAGTCTTGTTTCCTTTGCACTTCCAAGAACAATTTGATTTCAGATTTCAATTCAAAAACACAATTTACAACATTTCGTTTGACAGCCAGCTTATTGTAGTGTAGAAGAGCAGAGCCTCGTGATCTAAATTAATGTTTTTGCTCAGTTCTTTGAAGGCTCCAGATTTTATATAATTTACGACTTATACTAGCAATGGACTCTTGATGTCGATTGGTTAGGGCAGTGGTTAGGGAGCTAAATCTTTTCTGTTTTCTGAAAGCCCGATTTTGAGCTAAACATAGATGGCGCACCATCCGTACAAAACCCCACAGCCGTCCTAACCCATTTTAATCATCCAGTTTCAAAAAAGGTATTTATTTTCTCCATGCTATCTTCACAAAAGAGCAACTCTTCTTTGCTATCATCCGCATGAATATAGACACAGACCAGCAACTGCGAACACGAACTCACGTCTGTTGATTTATCGACTTGAAAAGCAAACAATGGTGAAAGCTTAATTTCGATAACAATGTGTTATTTAACCTTTACGTACATGCAGCGTTTGATGAGATTTTCTCCTATTGTTTTTTTTTTTTTTTTGCTTGGAATTTTTCTATCGCGACTTCATTTGATGATTGCACTAATGCTGGTGAAAACTTCCTGTTCAATCAAGTCTCTGGTGTTTGCAACTAGCTTCTTACCGACGAAAGAACTCCATATTTTTTTGGTGTGTTCCGAATGACTCATCTCAAATGGCGTTTTAGTTTTGAAGATTTCATAGATTCGTGACTGAGAACAACTTTGTACAGTGCGCTTTGTTTCTTCTCTATTACATTTCCAGTGATGTTAATGAAGCCGAATTTCGAAAATTCTTCTAAATATTTATGTTTTGTTTTCAAATTACTAAGGTTTAGAATACCAGTAGGCGACCCCCCAGAAAGACCTTCGCGACCCCCAGGGGGGTCGCGACCCCCAGGTTGGGAACCCGTGATCTAGACAGACAGACTGACGACAGACTGACGACTGACGACAGAGGAAGTGAGTTAAATAATAAAAGCTTGTAAAAATGAGAAAGGGAACATCTTTTTTATTTTGACCCTATCCTACAAGCATCGGTATGATAAACACCCTCGCCAGTCTCATGTCGATTCTAATTAAGGTTGGTCACGAGATGAAGACATAATTTATTTACTTAAGAGGTCACTTTTGGAGTCAGTGTTTCTTCCAGACTTTTTTTCTCCGGGGGGGGGGGGGGTACTGTTAAAAGTATACATTTTCTATATAATTTTCAGTTCGTCTATGGACACAAGTAACACATAACGTGTCTATAAACACACGTAACACGACAGGTGTTTATGGACACGTGTAACACATATCGTGTCTATCCTTGGTTCATCACCAGTTTCATCACTATAACATCACATCTTTCCGTCACATGATTTCTAGTACAATAAAAGGCTACAAAATATTTTCCTGCTTCTTCATTTCTTATTCTGAGCAAAGAAATTCCAAAAGTTTATCTTTTGATTTTCTATTAGAGATATGTATCTATCTATATACTACTAAAACTCAAGTTTGTTTACATGTTTGAATATTTATTTATTTTTGTTTATGTTTTTGTTTTGTTTGTTTGTTTGTCCGTTTGGTTACAGGAGGGAATCTGCACTATGTGTAGAGCTGCACAATACGTAATTAGGTAGAGAACATTTTTTTAAACAGACAATTAATCACAAATTAATTTAAAGATGTTAATTAATCTATTGATATATTCATTGGTAGAATAACCACACTAATTATAAAATTTCAGAACAATGACTTTATAGTGACGTCTAATGATTAATTTACTTTTTATTACAATAATGGCGTCTTCCATACAAGATTTTGTTGCCCTTTCAAAAGTATAACGCATTATATAGCTAATTTTCTGTCGGCTATAGCTTTAACCACACGTCCGTTTGCTGTTTTTATTCCGTTCCAAAAGTCCTTTCATTTAAGTTGAAGTATACAATAAATTTCTCTATATCTAGAATCTAAAGATCAGCTGTCGAAGTAAGTTATAGATCTAGAATCTAGGTCAAACCAAAATTAATTAGTTAAAAATGAAAACCATTATAAAATCACAATAAATTATTGAGTTTCTTTATTAAACTATTTTAGTCCTTAAATATTTGATATAAATCCTTGCTTTTTAGCTTCAAGGATCATCTAAATCAAGAAAGTGATTGATCTATCTAGGTTATAGATCTAGAACTACAAGAAAACTCGACTTAACCAAACCAGTCGTAGAATCTAGATAACTCAATCTCTAGATCTAGATAATAATGAGTTTCTATACTAAAGTATTTCAGACTTTCATTATTTTATATAAATCTTTGTTTGTTTAGCTAATGAATTGGCTAATTTAAGAAAAACTTTAATTTGAAATAATACTAGATCTATGGCCTATTCGCTTAAATCAAGTGTCTTGAGCAGACTCAAACTATTAATATATAGGACAGAAAAACGTTATTGACGACACGAGCCTAGATAGATAAGGTGTTAGTGTAATAGGCTTCCATGTGGGTGGCACGGGCTCTAGACACTGGTAATGTTATTATTTTTTTTAGATGTGAAAGATAAAGTTGCCTATCGGAACTTGGCGGGATACAGGGCAGGTGAAGTAGAGTTCACCTGTTTCTTTGTCCTCAGCATGAGAAGGGATAGTGTGGTCCGAGCCATGCTCGGCCGAAATATTTTTTTTTAAAACGATAAAACATGTTGTCTGAGACTTTGCGGGAACTAGGCAGGTGAAGTAGAGTTGGTTAGGTGTATAGTTCATCTGTGACGTCAGCATATGATGAGATAGTGTGGTCAGACCCATGCTCACCCGAAATCTGTGTTTTTAAATACAAAAACAAATCTGAGTTGGGGGGGGGGGGGGGAGAGAGACACTGGGCAGGTGAAGTAGAGTTGACCTGTTTTTGTGACCTCAGCATATAAAGGGATTGTGTTGTCAGACCGATGCTCAGCCGAAATCGGTGTTTTTAAAAGACAAAAAGTCTGAGGTGTGACGTCTTTTTTAATGTGGGGTCTGGTTTTTTGTGACGATAAGTAACAGACAAGATGCTTTTTATGCATGACTTCCGAAACCCACAGTTATCCAAGGGATGACGAGTAGTCTAGTATAATATTAAATCTAAGTGGTATATCTCTTAATTTAAATTAGTCTCAACTTCTCCTAATTTAAAACAATAACCTCCCTTGATGCGACATTAAGGCGCCTCAATCTACGCCTGGCAAACATTTTTTGAAAATCAGCGTGGTCCTAACATTCGAAACTAACTCGACCATCTCTTTGAAATCTATCTGACCGAATGGTCGAGGGATTACTTGGTTCGCAGATAATAGTATTAACACCACGGGGATATTTCTAGCTTACTGTGATCCAATGATTAGCTTTAGAGAAACAAAATATCTTTCCCAAACCCGAACTCTAAAGTTGTGTGAGGTGAAAGTGTCTCTAAATATTTCCATCAAGTTATGTGAGGTGACCAATATGTTGCTACCTTGTTGATCAACTAGGATTGTTAACTGGGGCATATTTCCTTCTGCTTTGAAGATTAATATGTTTCATTTTTAAATTTTACTGTAAATTTTAAAACATTTAAAATCTCTTCGCTACTTAACGATTTGTTGCGTGCCATTTTATAACGTATCTCGTCCTGTTAATGTCCGTGTTATAACGTGTCTCGTCCTGTTAATGTCCGTGTTATAACGTGTCTCGTCCTGTTAATGTCTGTTTTATAACGTGTCTCGTCCTGTTAATGTCTGTTTTATAACGTGTCTCGTCTTGTCAATGTCTGTTTTATAACGTGTCTCGTCCTGTTAATGTCCGTTTTATAACGTGTCTCGTCCGGTCAATGTCCGTTTTATTACAAGTCTCACTGTGAATGTCCGATTAATATTAGGCGTATGTTGCAACAGATCTGATAGAAAACAATATGTGTGTGTGTGTGTGGGGGGGGGGGGGGGAGGGCGGAGTTCGTCCATCCCCATGAGCAGATGTGACCGTGACGCAGTTAACCCATGGAGTGTGATGTTGGCCTGGTGTAACTTGACTCTATCAGCCGAGATTGAAGGGGCGACATCAAAATAAGCTGCCGGCATAAATACACAGGGATTTGTTGTTTTAAAAGTTACTCAAGTGTTTGATAGAAAGGATTCATCAAGCTTTAAGGTATTTATTAAAGAACAATTTTTGTTACTTAGTTTTGTGTTCGTAAAGGTATTAAAAAAATCATAGTATAGCAAAAATTAGGATACAAAACAAATTTAAAAAACAAGTTAATAAAAAGTCTAGTGACAATTTAAGCGTAATTTCCTTAATTAATTTTTTGTGACCGAACGAAAGGATATTTTTGAAAACTTTCTTCAGCAATATTGTTCTAAATTATGGCAGGAATCGATTGGTAAATGTTTCAAGTCGCTAAGTGGTCTGGTTGCCGAGATATGGGCCAAAAACTGCATTTTTTCGAGGTTTTTTTTGGCTTTTCCTGGAAATCCAGGAAGGAATTCCGGGGATTTTTTTGACCCACAATCATCCTCGGAACTTGCTTAACATATTTGCTTTGGAACTAGTCCTCGATATTGCTTCGTTGAGGAGGAGATACGACTTAAAGCTGCGGACACACATCCATCCAGAAATGACGAGTTAATAATCGCAATTCCTGTAAGGAAATTGCGCTAAAAACTAAAATATATGAAAGAATAGTAAGCGATTTCTGAAGAACAATACATTCCAGAAACATTACAGAATTGTTTTTTTTTTTGCTAACTTTTGTAGACAAATAATGGTTTTGAATAAAACATAAGTGTGTTGTGTAAAAAACTGGTTTATATAGTTCAACTGTTATGTTAATATATTCAGTTCAAATATTTTTACATCTTGAAAAAAAAAAATAATCCTTTCCGTATGGTTGGCTTTATTTTCATGCTTTTAAAATTTTGAAATAAATTCGTATTTTTAAAATTATCAAACCATTTAGAGGCAGTAAACAGATTTATTGTTTGCTGTGCTTCTGTCAATATTTAGACTAATCCTTCAAACGCTTCATTAGTTGACCAAAAGATCTAAACAAATCAACCATCCTACCATCAGTAGTTGACCAAAAGATCTAAACAAATCAACCATCATACCATCACTAGATGCTGGTCACAAATTCATTAGTTGTCCAAAAGATCTAACCAAACCAACCATCCTACCATCACTAGATGCTGGTCATAAATTCATTAGTTGTCTAAAAGATCTAACCAAATCATCCATCCTACCATCAGTAGCTGACCCAAAGATCTAACTAAATCAACCATCCTACCATCACCAGATGCTGGTACCAACCCTCCTTGTGGCTGTGGTCACACTCCTGGCTGTTGAAAGCAGACCGTCTGGAGATTTCGTCCGCTCCAACTACCCAAAGTCAGTCAACCGTTTCCTACAGCGTGCCATCACTGAAGGTTTGATCAGGGCAGAGAGGGAACTGGAGAAAAACTCTGAGCACTTTAATGGCACTGACTGGACCAATGACACGTAAGGGTTTATTTTCTAAATAAAATGTTTTTTTTATATTTTTATTTCATTTTAGGAAGCGAACATTATCCCCCTCATTGTTACCCACAAGTTTTGAAATATAGTTTTTTGTTTGTTTTGTTAATGTATCTGAAAGGAAAGTATGGCTAAAACAATATGTTTGTGTATTCAGGGAAGTGAGGCTAAGGTTTAACCAGCTGTCATGTGACACGAATTATTGTGTTTGTGTTTGTGTTTGTTCAGGGAAGTGAGGCTAAGGTTTAACCAGCTGTCCTGTGACACCAATTATTGTGACTCCTGTATCGGCTACCAACGACCGGATATCTGCGAAGATTCCTGTGAGCAAAACTGTATGAAGGATTACGATGACGATGTTCAAGATGAAAACGGTGAGTAGCTGATTGGTCCCTATTAATCACTTGCTGTTTCCTTATAGCCATTTTGTAAAAAGTAGCAGGAGTTCCTTAAGGCATCTCTTCGGAGGGGCACCCCTCCCCCCGAAGCACGAAATAGAATTTGTATTGAAAATATATACTTTTACCCGTGTCCTCCGCCTCCCCCTCCCTGAAAGTTTCAAGCGTCCCTCTCCCACCCCCGGATAAACGCTGAAAAGAAGTAGTTCTTCACAAATCTGGAGGTCCATGGGACAGATGAAGCCAGAATTGGTTAACTCCGACCATTCCGTCCCCAGACCCCCATGGGAACCAGGTTATGAAGCCAGAATTGGCTAACGTTTACCTACTTTATTATATAAACCTGGCAAAATAGTTTATAACAGATGCACTGTCTAAAGCTCCGTAAAGTTCTGTTTTTGAAACCCTCTTGTAGGTTTATTTAACCCACCGAATGTTACATAATAATATAGAATGTTCTAATAGTATGCAGCAGCTTTAGACCCTGTTTGGGTGTCCACAGAAAATATAAAAATAGCAAACACAAAGACATCTTTGCTACTATGACAATGTATAGATTAGTTATATTTTTAGCTGTTCATTTTTGTGTATGTAGATGAGCTTGACTTGCTAAATTATACAGAAAATATAAAATATGTGAGGGAATGGGGAGGGGGTGCTATACAGTCTGAATTAGGGGTTCTATGTTATGAAATATTCAACTGTTTATAGTTTAAAAAAATATCCTCTACTTGTGTTCTAAATAAAATGGTTAATTTGACTCTGTTACTGTAATCGTACTATTTCTACTTTTTTAAGTATAATTTTTAGAACACTCAGAATGTATAACAACTACACCTTCGCGTTTAACAATAATTCTAATAATTTGTAACACTAGATCTCACAATATCTATCAATAACATTCATTCGCTAAAGATACCACTGTTGTATTTACAGAGCAGGAACGTAACAAGCGGGGCGGCCTGATTGAGATTTGCCTGCAGATTGACATTCTGGGTCTAGGGAAGCTCCTGACTGGCCTCCTGGGCTTAGGGGGAGGGGGAGGGGGAGCAGGGGGCTTTCTTGGTAATATCCCCATTATCGGAGGTCTTCTCAGTAGTCTACTAGGCGGTGGAGCGGGCGCCCAAGCGGGTGCCCAAGCGGGTGCGGGCGGACTACTCGGGGGACTTCCAATTGTTGGGGGCCTTCTAGGGGGTGGCGGAGCGGGCGCCCAAGCGGGTGGGGGCGGACTACTCGGGGGAATTCCAATTGTTGGGGGCCTTCTTGGGGGTGGTGGCGCAGGTGCCCAAGCGGGTGGGGGTGGATTACTCGGGGGACTTCCGATTGTTGGGGGTCTGCTTGGAGGGTAGTTTAAGTGGGCAGAGGTAACCTTCTAGAAGGACTGCCTATAGTTATGAATATATTTGGTGGTAGGCGATAATCAAATAAAATATATTCTACAAGAGCGGCTCCATTGTGACAACACAAATAAATTAACATATTTGTTTTTCAAAATTCAAATAAAGCCATTTAAAATGTAATATGTTTGTTATTTGTGAGTCCCGCCTAGATTTTCATTACATTTATTAAGATCAAGATAATCTTCCTATGTAAAGTTTCTATTAAAATTAACTATATTTTTAAACGCGCTAAAATGTCGTCTGCAGCGGGAAAGTTTCATAACTGTTCCATATAAAGTATAAAATTACTTGAACTGAGCGTCGACGTGGTCGGGTTGGTAAAACTTATTGCAGATAAACCCATACCCAACAATCCGGAGTTTAAACCCCCGGGCAGATGAGGCTTTATAGAGTCCTTACAAACACGTGACCTAAATCACGTGATACCTACGCCCGCCGCCACAGTGGTGTACACTGGACGTAAACACAATCAGCTGTTCATCAGCGCTGGACGCGTTCACTATATGTAAAGAACCGCACCCGCGGAAAAGGAAAAATACGTTAAAAAACTTGAACTCTTAGGAATTGAAGATCCTTATACTATTTTTGACAGTTTCGTGGATAATATGAATATGTGGCCGAAATTTCTAAATAAAAATTCTGTTAGTAATACTGTTTGCGTTTAGAGTTTAAGTAGACGAATCTGATCAAATGCAGTAATATATTATAGGTTATCTAGATCTGGTTAATGTAGATTATAGATTCTCTGTTAAGTAAAATATTTAGTAGCAGAAGATCTAGTACAACCACACTACTGTAGCAAACGTGAGACCACTTAACTCCTAAAAAACCCACACTACAACGTCTAATATAATTCATGGGTAATAACCACTGCTGTTCTTAGATCTCAGCCAATCTGGGTAGCATGTTATACAATTTAAGACCCTTATAATCCAGCAGGGAAGTGATCAGACACATTAATACTGATGTTCAACCCCACCTTTTTCTAGCCCACAATAAAACCAAAGAGGAGTCAGTACCACTGCCCTCCCCTGAAAATTTCTCACCTCCGTGATACCCTCAGGGCCCAGCAGGGAGAACAAAGGGGAAACTCCCACTGCTCTCCCCTCAACATTTCTACATAAACTTAGTAGACTAATTACTAGATATGAATTTGAATTTAATTAAACTCAGTCCAGTACCAGATACATATTACTGTAAAAAGACACAAAGTAGGTAGGCCTTAGTAATTTGTTAAAGCCTTCTACTACATTAATATCAACTACATGCTTGTATAAACTTTTTAAAATTTAATTTAAGTAGCAGATTCTAAATCAAGTCTAGTCATACAATATATTTCAATTTCAGAAAATTTCGTTTGCTAAAAAAAAATGATTAGATTGTAGAGCGAGATCTCTTTCATCTTGGTTTAATATAACCCTTGGCAGTCGAAATAAAGGAATCCCTTTAGATCTGCCACTTCGAGTATCACAACCTTTCACAACACAGATCACCATTTTGAATGTAGATCTGTACACCGCGATGGCGGATGTTTACATTCACGAACGGACGTGACGTCATATGAAAGGCGAGACAACTCCAAAATCAACTGCTGCCTTGTAGTTTGTTCTTCGTTTGACAAAGGCTATGGAGGCAAATTCAGAAAGAAAAGCAAGCTGAAGTAGGAGTCAACAGAATAAATGGCGCATAGCAAGTTGACACGTACTACTTAATTGTGTTGGAAGAAATCTCCAACCTACAGCTTAGAACGATGAAGAATAACCGATTTTATGGTTTGGCTGCACGATCTGTCATTCAGTGAACTTTAAGCTTTTTCACTATATTTATTTCTAACAACAGTCAAGCAAATCAAATAGCGGATCATTTTAGATTCCTACAACAGTTAACACAGGGGCGTAGCGATAGGGGGGGGGGGGGGGCGGGGGGTGCGGACCGCACCGGGTGACACCATTTAGGGGGGTGACACCATGGCAAAAAATAGCAAAATATATAGAGAAAAACTTGAGGGGGGGGGGGGTGCAAATCGAAAGTTTGAGGGGGGGGGGGGTGTGCAAATCGAAAACTTGATAGGGTCGCTACGCCTCTGTGGGGTGACACCATTAAGTGCCGCACCGGGTGACACCTGAACTCGCTACGCCACTGAGTTAACATCATGATGATTAGAACCTGGTGAATTAATATCAAATGACATCACTGATGTTTCGATGTGTAGATACCTCACTGACCGTTGTCCCAGTATTTCTGTGATCACATCAATTGAGTTGACTGGCATCTAAATACAACATTGAAACACAATTTGGGATTTTAGACATTGAGTCGAAAATACAACTTCAAACTCCGGTTTGTGTTCGTACTTAGAGCATTTTCTTTCTTTGTTCTTTTCAACTTTTCACAGATGGCTTTCAGAAACAAATATGTGAAACAATAGTGTAACGTTTTTTTAAAAAATATAAATGTTTAAATTTTAAAAAAAGTTTCTGTTAGTAATGTGCCCCTGGTGAGTGCCCCACTAGAATTGCTGCACCAGTTGCAGCTGCTTTCACTAAACAATGAAAGGTGCTGTGCATGGCTTTAACAAAACAAATAAAAAATGTTATAAAAATAAATAATAATAATAATAATAATAATAATAATAATAATAATAATAATAATAATAATAATAATAATAATAATAATAATAATAATAATAATAATAATAATAATAATAAATATAATAAATATAATAATAATATAATATTAATAATAATAATAATAATAATAATAACAATAATAATAATAATAATAATAATAATAATAATAATAATAATAATAATAATAATCATCAATATAATAATAAATAATAAATATAATAATAAAAATAATAATAATAAATATAATAATAATAATAAATATAATAATAATAATAATGATAATAATAATGATAATAATAACAAAAATAAAAAAATACAATAATAATGTTATTCTCGTATTGTCTGGTGAGTTTAAACTAAATCCAAGATTTACAAGTGTGTCAAAGCTGAGTTACAAAATTTCCGCAAACCCACAAACATACGAACATTGTTAACTAAATAATAGCTTGTAAAAAAAAAGTCGCACGAATGAAGAGTGACAGGACTTTTAAATTTTATCAGAGGGTATCGACGGGCGAGCATCGGGAAACGCCAGAGCCAGGTAGAGTTATCTTCAAAATTTGTTATGTATACAGGATGCTATTCTCTCATAAACTGTTGTGGGTCGGAGTAACAGAGAGGGTTCTTCTCTATCTTGCAGTTTTCTGCATGGGGTTTTATTAGGTAATATATGTCTGATAATTGTAACATAACACGAGAATATGGAACTAATAACACAAGATAATATTAATATACTGGGGATATTAATGAATGCTGTACATGATGGGACATAGACGCATGTTTTACATTGGTTACGATTTCTGATGAAGTGGTTTAATAAATACTAGATTCCAATCAAGCTTGGCTTAGGTTTGGCTTATCAAGACAAAAATATTTACTTATATCTGGCTATATGACAGTAAACAGTAGCAGATGTCATGCAACTATGACGTGTGCTGTGTTCATTGCTAATCAAAGATGGCGGGGTGTCATTCTATTGATTTAAGCAGCACTAATGAAGCCACTGAGACATTGAGGGGCAATCAACTGTGATGTTATGTGGGGTCGGTCGAGCTAAAAGGTACTGTTGTTTAACCTCTTGGTGTATTACTGAACTCGCTAAACTTACATTGACTCATTAACTATAATATTGCATTTTTTTCACAATCATTTAATTAATTATTCAATAATTTTGCCATTTTTTTCCTTATATTTTTAATAAATAAATAAATAAATAAATAAATATATATATATATATATATATATATATATATATATATATATATATATATATATATATATATATATATATATATATATTATCTGTGCACAGTTTAAAGATATCACGGAAAGGGGCGGGGGTGACACTACCTAAACGTTTTAATATTTGCCTGAGGGTAAAACTTTTGTTGAGAATTGTGTAACTGATATATTAATCGACTTCTGGAATAGGGGGGGGGGGGACACCAAATTTAATAATTTACGACAAAAGCAATGATTTTTCCACGTTAATTATTGTTAGAATTAGGCCCCTCAATGCTTTTTCTAGGTGGATTAATATAAGTTGACGCCACTCGACAAAAATATGCATATATTTTATATATTTATATAAATCACCTTTATGTATATAGACCTATATAGACAAGTGCCTGTACTTCTCCTCAGATGATGTTGTGTATCCTGTATCTGCTCAGTATCAGCCTAGTTTCAATAGGTTCCACACAAGTCGAACATGATGTGTTCTCTCCGTTACCTCAACGTGTGAATCGCTCTTTACAAAAAGCGATTGTCGAAGTCTTTGAGAAAATGAAACGCGACTTCGATCAACTGGCTCCTTACTTTAACGAGACGAACTGGGACAGCGAGGTGTAAGTAGGTCATCTAATTTTAGAATCAAACAAATAAAAACAGCATGCAAATATTAGCAGTATTAGATTAAAAATTCGCTATTAAAATCAACAGTAAAAACACAAGGCAAGTTGTTTTTGAATTCTCCATCGATTTTCTTTTTATTGAAATGTGCGGACGTTTAAAAACACAAAAGGTTGAAGTAATTAACATTTGGAAACACAAGAAAAATACACGGAAAGGAATTCTGGGATACATTTAACTTCGATAATATTTTCCAAAAGTTTATTTCACAACATAAGTCTCGCATTGGGTGACTTACAACAATTTATTGCAACTATACTACATCCAGAAGCAAGCACACGAGAATGCTCTTTTGACCTTCCGGATTATTTCAAGATAAAAAATAGCATATGCCAAGATATCGGATTCATCTTTAAATCTAAAAAGAAAAATAAACAGAATTATAATATATGTCCGAGTTTAATTAGT